TATACCTAGTAATGGAATAGCTGGGTCAAATGGTATTTCTAATTCCAACTTTTGAAGGAATCACCATACTGCTTTCCACAATGGTTGTACCATTTTGCAATACTGTAAGTTATTTTAAAGTCCATATGTGGTAACTTCAATATGTAGATCTCTTATTGATCTCTCTCATCTGCTTTTATGGTTATATTTTGGGGGTTACATTTTTGGCTCTTTTGTATCTCGAGTTATTTTGGATTAGGTGCTACACACTGTTTATGGAGAATTATAGAGGTAATTTGAGGCTCTTGGTGATGTTATTTCCTTCCAGATATAATTTACTTTTCTCCTAAAAGGCAGTTATGTTAGGGGCAGATCACCTTAATGCAATCAGAGATTGAGCTGATTTGAAGCAGGGCTTCAGTCTTTATAAGAGCTGGTTTATTTCTCGTTCATTATTACTCCCAGAGTATAGTGCTTTGAGATCACAGACAAAAGCCTGTGGAATTTACGAGGGCTCTCCCTTTGGCATATCTTGAATTCTAATTTTTCTCTTTTTGTTCCTGTAAGAATGTTCAAACTTCTGTCTAGCTTCTAAACCTCTTAGCTTCCAGAATTTTAACTGCTTTGAGGAGAAAGGTACCTCAAACTCTCTTGGATTTTCTCTTTTGGTACCGGTTCTACAAATTCTCACTGCTTTAGTTCCCTCAGAAGCCTCAAAACACACATGCACACATGTACACCCCCCACACACATTTTCTAATTATTCTCAGGAGATACTGGTTGAAATAACACAGTCAGCTTCTGGTACATTCTTAACAGTGTGTTCAGGGAAGAAGATAATGGTCTTCAACAATCATGTGTGGAGAAATCTCTCAGGAGAGTGGAGAGCTTGTTTAAAAATGCATGTTCTTGGGCCTTCCCTTCCATGAGATTCTCAGTCTTTTGTTGTTGTTGTGTGCCCTAGAGTCGATTCTGACCCAGAGTGACCCCATGTGACAAAGTAGAACTGCCCCATAGGGTTCCCTAGGCTATGATCTTTATGGAAACAAATTGTCAGGTCCTTCTCCTGCGAAGCCGATAGGTGGGCTTGAACTGACAGCCTCTCAGTTAGCCACTGAGCATTTAACTGTTGCACCACTAGGGTTCCTCCATCTGGTGTAGGGTCCAGGAATCTTTATTATTAATAAATTTCACAACTTATTTTTGATGGTGATAGTTTATGTCCAAGTTCATATATAAAATATATAAAGATGGTTATTTAAGTATAATAGAGGAGTTACAATTTATTTTCTTATTTTTAAGGATGCCCAGTTGATGCTATTATACTGGAAGCTCCATTTACCAACATGTGGGTTGCAACTATCAACTATCCCTTGTTAAAAGTGAGTCTTTGATTCTTCTTCACATCATGTCAAAGTGTAGGTTGCTTCCACACATTATGTTTATTAATCACCTCGCTTTCCATAACTAGTTTTATATGTTTCTGAGTTCTTCTAATTTGAGACAGCTCATTAGGCAGTTGCTAAAATAGAGGACACAATGGCTTTTGGATTTACTAGTCCTTTTAGTTTCTTATAACAATTGAGTGGCTTATTGAGAGCCAGGTTGTTTTTGTTGTTGTGTTAAATTAAGTGTATAGTGCCTAAGGCACTTGACTGCTCACCAGAAGGCTGGCGGTTCAAACCCACCAGCCACTCCTCGGAAGGAAGGTTGGGCAATCCTACTTCCATAGTGATACTGCCTCGGAAACCCAAGGAGGGGTCGCTATGAGTCGGGGCCGACTCGACGGCAAACAACAACAACAACAACATGACTGTCAACAATATATCTTTCATGACTCTATGATAAGATAGTCTCCAGGGAATTCAAGGAAGGTGACTAGTGGTTTTATACTATATCCCAGGCAGAGAAAACAATCTTTCTAATGAAGTGCAAAGAATTGGGCCACAAGATATACTTTTAAAAATGTCTGTTGTATAGCTTATCCTTCTTGGTTCCTAGGAATACAAGCCTAAGCCAAAATTGTGAAGCAGAAGTTTGTATTTACCGGCCCCAGGCTACCTATTCTGTTCTCATTTCCCTTCAAGGTACCATATTCCCACCAATGACATGAATTACTATTTAAAATCAGAAAAAAAAACCCTTTTTTTTAAAGTTAATTATATTCAGAAAGTCACCATTCTCTATAGTACTACTGTTTGTCATTGGAAATGAACAAATGACATACCTATGGAGAAATTTTATTACTTTTTCTTTTCAAAGAATTGTAAGGCAGAAGTTTTTATTTGCTGGCTTTATCCTACCTGTTCTGTACTCATTTCCTTCCTTTGGCGGTGTTCCTCCTTGTACCCCCATGCTCCCAAGTGCAACAGGGGAATACTTCACTGGTCTTTTCTTTTTACCAACCTATTCTAAAGAATAAAGTCTGAAATTCAGTCACACTACGGTTAAAAATGACAGATAACAGCTTAAAGTGTATACCGGGAGATTCATTCCTCTTCGACAAATATTGCCCATTATGTACCATGAATTTTGTGGATACCACAGGGAATCAGAGCACTATAGTCCCTCCCATTATGAAGTTTATATACTTGCTGTAGTGGCAGATAGAAGACAAGTACACAAAGGTTTCAGTAGTGAGAAATTCCATGCTGGGAATAAAAAAAATGGGATAGAGAATGGTGGGGTGGTGGTAGCAAGATTTGATAAGACGGTCAGGGAAGACCTCTTCAGAAACATCCTTGAGTTGAGACAGGCACAGTAAGGAGCCAACCAAGGGAAAAGGAAGAGGTTCCAGGCTGAGGGAAAAACAAAGGCAATGGCCCTGAGGCAGGAACAAGCTTGGAACATTCAAGGAGCAGAAAGAAGGCAGCAGGGCTGGAGTGTGAAGAAGGGCCTCAGTGATAGGTAAGGCTGGTGAGAAGGCAGAAGCCAGATTCTGTAGGGCCTCAGAGGCCAACATCAGTGTTCAGGTTTAATTCCAAATGCCTTTGGAGGATTTTAAGCAAGAGTAACATGATCTGATTTGCATTTAAAAATTATCATTCTAGTTTCCCTATGGATACTGGATTCCGGGAGGGTGGAAAGAGGGAGCCGCTCAGGAGGTTGTTGGCATGGTCCAGGCAAAAGATGAAGTGTGACTTTGGCTGGATAAGTGTGGAGATGGAGAGAAGATTTGGGATACAGTTTGGATGTAGAGATCAAAGTTTGTGAGGAAGGGGCTATATTGCCCAAAGTTTCTGGCCTTGTCTCCTCATTATAAGTTGAAAAGGGTTTTTTTTTTTTTTTAGGAAGCATAAACTAATGTACCTATTGATTTCATTAAAACATGGTTAAAAGCTGATTTACTAATATTTTGTTTACTGGATTTGCTATTAAATAGGAACTTTAGTATGTTTAAAGGCGCCCTCGTAGTGCAGTGGTTAAAGCAGTTGGCTGCTAACTGAAAGGTCATGGTTTAAACCTACAAGCTGTTCCACAGGAGAAAGATGTGGCAGTCTGCTTCTGAAGGATTTACCGCCTCGGAAACCCCAGGGGGCTGTTTGACTCGCTCCTAAAGGGTTGGTGTGTGTCAGGATCAATGACAGTGAGCTGGAGTTTGGTATGTTTAGAATGATAGATGATGTTTGGGGTCCTGTGGTCAGTGTTAAACCCTAAAATGCCTTATAAATTATTGCAACATTATATTGTGTTCAACAGAAATTATAGTGTTCTTTAAAACCTATTATCTATGTATTAAATACTTTTTTAGTCAGAACTTCTGATTAATCAGATTATTCTATTCCCCAACTAAACCAATTATATATTCATCGCAGAAGGAATTTTTAGATTGTATGTTGCTGCTCCTTTATGACTATGAAAAACAAGAGTTATGGTATCATTTGTATTTTTAAAAAAGACAGGAAGTTAAAACAACAAAATACTGATTATCTGCAGATGGTGTGTTTATGTGTGACTTGTCTTCCTTTCTTTTCCAAATTCCCTACATTTACATGAATTATTTTCAAATGAAAAATATTTTTGTTTTTACAAAAACAAAATCCTCATTAAATTTAGAAAGGCACTACTCTATATTACTACATATCACAGTAGGAGACTATAATAAATGACATTACAGCTATAGTGCAAGTTTTTTTTTTTAAATACACAATCCTGTATTTGAAATTTTGAAACCAAAACACCTGAAAACCAAAAAGAATTGTAGGTCTTTTATAAATTCTTTTATTGTGATGTGGGTGCAAATTTACAAAGCAGATTCATTTTACACACAACCATTCTTGTTCATTTGGTTTGGTGTGATTACAGTCCCCAACCATAAAAAGCTCTCCTCTCATCTCTTCCCTGTGCCCATCATTTCCCTGTGCCCTTCTTATCTGTGCATTCCTGTCTTTCCAGCATTCCCTCTGCGTGAATGCTGCCCATCTGATGTCTCCTGGTTGATTGATCTAGGGGGGGTGCAGCTCCCTGGGGTAGTATAGGGCAAGTTTTAGTTTTTTTGCTTTTTTTCAAATAGATTTACCGGAAACTTCCAGGATGTTTACGCCTGTTTATGGATTCCATGAGGAAAGACAAAATATTCTTCCCTAATGATGAAAAGTAAGCTAATGATGAAAAGGTGTCCCTTATTACTATATCCACAGGATTCTGGGGTAATTACTATGTGACTTACTACTGGGGGTGATGAAAAGTCTGAATTGTTCTTAGATAGGCACTAGCAATTAGGATGAAGTATCCACAATTTTCAGTATTTGATATTTTCTTCCTGTCTAATTTAGTCACCGACTGAATTACCAACTCAATCCTTTATCTGACATCATAAAGGAACTTGTAGATTTAAACTGTAAAGCATCCTCTGGTGTTTAGACTGACATACCCAGGGGAGCTCTCACTTCTAGGCCTTCTTCTCCAACTAACCATCTACCCCACTAACCCAAAAGCAAGTGCAAGGACTAGAATTTGGCAAGTTAGCCTCTTGTAGTTGGAGAATTTAAGGCTTCATATGGTAATAGTTATCTTTTTTTTTCTTTTTTCTATTTCAACACACTTGAGGGATCTAACATTCTCAGGAATAATAGCAGGTCACTGTGATGGGGTGGATGAGTATCAGAGTTTGGGGGGCAGAGAAGTAGTATTATGTTAGAAATTTCTTGGAGTAGGGGACAATTCATTCTTCATGTCACAGTCCTTTTGATTACCAAGCTAGGAGGTTGGTCAGGAAGCTAAGCAGACCTGTTCAGTTTATGTTCACGCTGTACATATATGAGGAAATGGAAATAAATCACTACAAAGAGGTCTTTTTGTCATGTAGTAGTTCTTACTATTGGGTTTTGAGTTTTTCTTTTATAGTCATTTGGTTAAAATATAATGAAGAAGATGAGGTTCTTCTAATGCTGTATAAATTCAGTATTTCAGTGTTTTTCTTCCTCAGTATTTTCAAAAATCACATAAAAGAAAATACTACCCTATTAGATTGTGTAAGTAAATGGAGGAAAAGGAAACTTGCCTTAAGTTACGGCATGAACCTTATGGTGTTATTATTTCTGGAAAAAAAGGAAAGAGGGAGCTTTTGGATTGGGCAAACCTCATACTTTGCTAAAGCTTTAACTTATAAGAGAAATCCCAATGTGTAACTCTTGAACTAAATGCTTTTTTTTTTTTTTGCTTGTCCCTAGTGTTAAGTTCCTGTCTTCTCCCCTTCTTATTTTACATGGAGAAGATGACAGGACAGTGCCTTTGGAGTTTGGAAAGAAGGTAAACTAAGAGCTCAGTGCTAGCTGAAAATAATACATGTGTTTCACTATTTCCTCATTTGACCAAACTTTAATTAGAGCCCTAAGGAGGGTCTCTGACATTATAAGGGATTCTTCCCTGTAGAAAGGGGTGTATACAATGAGCATCAGTGTTGTATGTGACTCTGCTTAAAAGAGTTTGTGGGGAAGAGTCTGGTTCCTTATCAGGATCTGTGGGTTTGCAAGTATATAGACAGTTCCAGGCTGCTATGGAAACCTCTAGCTAGTTTCCAATATAGTGGCTTTAAAAATGGAGATGTAGTTTTTAAAAACAAAACAAAAACAACAAACCTCTACTAGTTTGGATGCACAGGAATTCCTAGTCCCTTGGCAGTCAGGCCTGGGCAAGGGGATGATAAGGTTGCCTCGGTGGTCTCCATCAGTCACGTGGTCAGTCCATGAGCTATAGAGATGGCTAACTGCAGATGTGGAGAGTCCCTTTATCACTGACTTAATGGAACCAGCTCCCCAAGTTGGCTGTTTTATACAGTTTTAGGAAAATAATGAGAAAAACCATAGCTTTGATTCCCAAAAACCTCTGAGTCCGTCTCTCTGTACTTTCAGCTCTATGAAATTGCATACAATGCATACAGGGACAAAGAGAGGGTCAAGATGGTTGTCTTTCCTCCTGGCTTCCACCACAACCTCCTTTGTCAGAGCTCTGCACTACTAATAGCTGTGAGGTAAGACTGCTTTGCTAAATGTGATTATCTTTCCCTTTAAGGCAATCAGGGCCCCTCTGGCTTACTTAAGACAATGAGGTGGGGAAAGCATACAAGCTGATCTAGGTTATTTTTCTGCAGAGATTTCCTGAGCAAGCAGTGGGCCTGAGACAACTGGTCCTAAAGCAGCAGCAATCTTCAGTGAAGACTTGGTGAAGCATCTCCCATGATGTGCATTTTTTCATGTAACATTTTCCTGGGTTGCTTGGATAAGCTGAAGTCATTGACATTCCTACAAATAAATCACTTGCCTTTTTAGTAAGGGAAAGCATGGATGCAGGGTAGCATATCCTATCAATTAACCTATCATAGTCTACTTTGTGAAACATGCTGAAACCTCACTGTGGAATATCAGAACTCGGTAAACTTTAGATCCCATCTAAAAATGTGTACTCACCAAAGCATCCTAGGGATATTTATGAATAAGATGGTCTCTGACATGGACTTAGACGACAAGTGTAAGAAAGGTTAAATCATTTATATTTTACTTAGTTAATTTAAATGACATTAAAAAGTGCCAAGCAATTTTTTTGCTTTCTAACTAGCTCCAGGGAAAGTACAATTTGCTATAAAATACTAAGTTTTGGCACTCATGTAGTTTTTGCAGTTGACCTTTTTTTTTTTTTTTTTAAAGCCATAATACAGAAAGATCCCTTCCCTCCTCATTCCCGAATATACTAATTAAGACTATTAGCAAACAAAACAAAATCAAGGAATGTTAAAATAAAAAGTTCAAGTTCAGTAACAAGCTGTTTTCTCTAAAGACATTTTACAACTCAGTTTCCATTGGTCTTGTTCACTCCATTGCTAGGTTCATTAGACAGGGAAATCTTCAGATCCGAAGGCTCCATGTTCCAGATGTCCTTCGCATACTCCTTAATTGTTCGGTCACTGGAGAATTTTCCCGAGGCAGCTATGTTTTTGAGTACCATTCTGTTCCAGGCCTTTGGATTCTGTAAACAACACATGCATATGCTGCCCAGGACCTGATGGCCCAAGTGAGCTTTATGACAAACATTAGGCCAAACACATTTCACGGGGAATGTGACAGGAATAAATTGTAGTGAATTATTAGTACACTCGTTACATAGCTGAGAACTAGGAGAGTTTGTCTCTTAAGCATAGAGAAAAAAAATATTTTGCATTTTAAGAAAAACTAGAGATGAAAATTCCCTAATTGGTGATTTCTGCTATGGTTACAATGTTTTGTATTTCCTGTCGTTATTATAAATGACGAAACCTCCCTTCTGAACTACTGGAAGGAGGAAGGGACTAACATTTATTGTCTACCAGATGGTAGGCTCCAGGTCAAGAGCTTTAACCCGTGGCTCACAGTCAAAGTTTGAACACTACTACTCTAGCATATTAGTTAAAATGCAAGCAATCAATCCTCCTTAGCTTATTGACCTCCTTAGCTTTTCTTGTTTATCTGGAGATAGATGACCCAGTAAATTTATACTGAGTCCCAGATACTCCAGTGGGGTTTCAAAACAGAGTCAATCCTAAGACTTGATTCCTAATATAAACAAAAAACCCAAAATCTCTTATATCAAAGAATATGATAAAAAGGTATTTATTTTTATAGCTTCATGCCTTTGTACAAAATTTTAAAAGTTCATTGTAAATGACAGGGCATTGTTCAAAGATATTGGCTGTGTATTATGAGGATTTAAAAGAAAAACAAAATGACTACCCTTTATTGCTTAAGGTAATGCCCTGGTCTCAGGCAAGAGGAGACTTCCTGGTTCATGTGGGCCATTAGTGCTGTGGACTAATTGCTTCCTTAAGTTGTGGTTTCTTTCACTCTCCTTTGCTCTACCAATAGCTGTATCTTAGTTTATTCATACTTTGGAAAATAAGACATTGAAAGCTTCCTCTCATCACTTCCTTTAACTATGTAAATAGATAATGAATAGACTTCCCAGTCACGCTGGACATATTTTCTAAGCTGCAACAACACAATGATTCTTAAGAGTAAAAACTACAGTTACATATTTACCCCATTTGTCCCAATGAACAAGAATGACTGACTGGAATGCTGGCCTTTATATGGGCCTTCTTTGGATGTGGGCCATAGCTTTAACAGAGGAGATGCATTGTATTAAACTGACATTCACATTTGTCCTTGCCTTTGTTCATGTTTTCCTTTCCTGCTCTATTTACATTTCTTTTCCTCTGTAGCCTTTCCTTTGAGCCCTGGTGGCATGCAGTTAATGTGCTTGGCTGCAAACCAAGAAGTTGGTGGTTTGAACCTACCAGCCACTCCATGGGAGAAAGATGTAGCAGTCTGCTTCCTTAAAGATTTTTGGTCTTGGAAACCCTACTCTGTCCTACATGGTTGCTGTGAGTTGGAATCAACTCAAGGGCTATGGGTTTTTTAGTCTGGTAGCCTTTCTATATACAAAGCATTGTGCAGACATATACGAAAAGGCAAGAGGTGGTCATTCTGTTTCCTGTCTTGAGTTATTAGGGGCTGGATGTGGTTTTCTCTCCTAAACTGTCAAGAAGCCTAACTAGTACTGTGCTGCCATACTCATGGCCATTAACTTGAACTTACTCTGTATGCATATGCTGTTAGGGGACTAGATATGACTGTACTAGAAGGTAAGGGCTGCAAAGCAGCAGGCCTTGAATGATCCTATTTTAAAATTCCAATGGAGAATCTGGGATGACTGTAGAACTACCTTATATACTCTCCCTTGAATAGAACAAAATATATCAGTGAAGCAAGTTTCTGTTGGGAGTAGTTACCCATGAGTTCAAAGGGCAGGAGGTAGAGATTTTTATGGACCCTCTGCTCTTCTGCTGTATAGTAAGATTTTTGGAGGGAAAAAAATGGAGACTATGTGGACAAGGGCAAAGCCATGTCCAGAAGGCTTAAAGGCCTAGAGTGCACTGACCTCAAGAAATCTACCTGGTGTCTTGGCATAGAGCTAGCCTCATCCTCTACATGGAGTCCAGTGCCTGCAATCCATTGAGTCTTTACTATCAGAGAGGATCAACCCTTCCACACACTACAAATATACCTAAAGGTTTATTTGATAAAAATATGTAACTTTGCATGTGAAACGAAATGAAAGGTTAATCTCATGGCTTTAGCCTTTTTTGGGAGTATAGTCATTCTTGTTTCCCTTCTTTTTCTTTGAACATTTTATTGTGTTTTAAGTGGAAGTTTCACAGAAAATTAGTTTCCCATTCAACAATTCATACACGAACTGTGTCATGACTTTGGTGGCTAGCCCCACAATGTCAGCACTCTCATTGCCATCCCTCTAGTTTCCCTGACTCTCCATGCCTTCTCATCTTTGCTTTTGGGCAAGTGTTTCCCATTTTGTTGATGTTTCCCATATAGTTGATTATACTAGGGAGTATTGCAAATGAGTGTTATTATTTATTTTACAGGCCAATCTATTATATTGCTGAAAGGTGACTTCTGGGAGTGGCTTCAGTTCCAGGTTTAAAAGGGTGTCTTAGGGCAAGACTGATCTTTTTTTTTTTTTTTTTAATGAATTTGAGTTTTGTTCTACATTTGTCTCCCATTCCAACCAGGACCCCCATTGTGTCCCATTAAAGTGGTAGGTAGTGGTAGCCGGGACCATCTAGTTCTTCTGGTCTCAGGCAAGAGGAGACTGTGGTTCATGTGGGCCATTAGTCCTGTGGACTAATTGCTTCTTTGAGTTTTGGTTTCCTTCACTCTCCTTTGCTCCAGATGGGAAGAGAACAATAGTTGTATCTTAGATGGCCTCTTACAGGCTTTTAAGAAGACCCCAGAAGCTACTCACCAAACTAGTATATAGAAGTTTAAGAACAATGTTATACCAGTTGACCAAGATGTCCCGAGACTATAGTCCTTAGTCTTCAAGCCCAGTATCTCAGTCCCATGAGGCACGTGGATACATTTAAGAAGTTTCCGTAACTCTGTCCCCTCTAGGTACTCTATTATATATACGGATATATATGCAGCACATACAAATATGTATATACATATCTACAAATGCTCATAACTATAACTATATATGCATGCACATGTATTCCTGTATGCCCTCCCACCTGTATATTGTATACATATTATGCACCTATACAACCACTCACAAATTTTTGGTTGTTTTTACTGTTGCTGCAGAACTGTGTACGTTACAGCATTTACTGTGGCTGTCCTTTATTATTGTGTACCTCTCAGTTCTTCATTTATCTCGGTCACATTGTTCTGACTTCCCTCATAGCGTATTACCTTTCCCATCACCAGAATTATGTGTCTACACTCTGGTAGAGTGATTCTCCCTTTCTACCCTTCCTATACCTGGTAACCATCAAAGAACATTTCTTTCTGTGTATAAACCTATTCTTGACTTTATTAAAGTGGTTTCATACACTATTGCTCCTTTTGTGATTGACTTATTTCACTCAGCATAATGTCTTCCAGATTCATCCATGTTATATTTTGTGGACTCATCCTTGTTCTTTATCATTGTGTAGTATTCTGTTGTATGTCTTTATCCCATTTTGTTTATCCATTCATCTGCTAATGGACACTTAGGTTGTTTCCACCTGTTTGCTCTTATGAATAATGCTGAAGTGAACATGGATGTGCATGTGTGTATTCATGTCATTGCTCATATTTTTCTAGGATACATATCTAGGCGTGGGATCACTGGATCATATAGTATTTCCATTTCTAGCTTTGTGAGGAAGTGCCATACCATTTTCCGTAGTGGTTGTACCATTTTACAATCCCACCAGCAGTGTATGAGTTCCAGTCTTCCACAACCTTGCCAGCATTTCTTGTTTTCTGTTTGATCACTGCCATTTTTTCAGGTGTGAGATGGTATCTTGTTGTACTATTGACTTGCATCTGCTAATGAAGTAGATTGCCCAGTCTTCCTCCGTGGAGTGGCTGTGGGTTTGAACTGCCAGCCTTCTGGTTAGCATTCATACACCTTAGGCAGTACACCTAAAACTCCTTAATTAAGGAGACCTAGTGGTGCAGAGGTTAAAGTGCATAGCTGTTAACCAAAAGGTCAGTGGCTTGAACCCACTAGCCACTCCATGGGAGAGAGATGTGGCAATCTGTTTCCATAAAGATTTACACCTTGGAAGCCCTTTGGGGCAGTTCTATTCTGTCCTATAGGGTTGCTATGAGTTGGAATTGACTCGACAGCATTGGGTTTGGTTTCTTTTTGAATAGCTGTTGATCATGAGCATCTCTTTATGTGTTTGTTAGTCATATGAATGTCTTCTTTGGTGAAGTGTCTATTCATTTCCTTTACCCATTTATTGGACTGTTTGCTTTTTGTTGTTGAGGTGTTGACGTTTTCTGTGTAGTTCAGAGATTGGACTCTATCAGCTGTGTCATTGCCAAATTTTTTTCCTAGTCTGTAGGTTTTCTTTTTACTCATTTGATGAGCCTAAGTATTTAACTTTTAGGAGGCCTTAGACATCTAGTTTATCTTCTGTTGTTTTTGGGAATGTTTGATAGTATATTTATGCCATAAATTAGGACCCCTAGCTTTGTCCTTAAGTCATGTTCCAGGAACTTGATAGTTTGTAATTTTTTTTCCTTGTTCTTTCTAGTTTTACAGCATATGGTCAGAGGATATGCTTTGTATTATGCTGATGTTTTGAATTTATTGAGGCTTGCTTTGTGGCCTAGAATATGGTTCTATTCTAGAGAATGATTCATGTGCAATGGAGAAGAATGTGTACTATACTGCTGTTCAGTAGTGTGTTCTGCATATGTCTATGAGATCAAATTGGTTGATAAGTGTAATTTAGATCTGTATCTTCACTGAGTTTCTAGTTTTCCATCCATCATTGAAAGTGATGTGTTAAAAATCTCCTACTATTATTGTTGACCTGTTCTATTTATCTTTTCAATTCTGTTTTTTTTCTGTTCTCCTTGATCTCTTTGAGATCTTAAACATAGGTTTTTTGAATTCCTTCTCAGGTAGCTGGAGTTCAACTATTGTTTTTCCTCTGGAAGATTTTCTTTCCTTTTGTTTTGCTTACTTATTTGAGTTATCCTGTTTTTTCCAAATGCTTTGTTATTGTCCGCTGTACCTGAGGTATTATGGTGTTATTTTTTTTTAAATTTGTTCTGATTTTTCGTTTTGTTTTGATACAGTGTGGGTGGGGTGAGAGGTGAGTGTGCTCCACTAACTGCTGGTCTGGCAATACAGGAGTATTGCCGCTGGACTGGCAGGGCAGTGGTGGTCAGGGTGAGCACATCAGTGTTCACTGGGTGTGCTGGGCAATGGGGCACAGGCGGGTAGGTGTGGTCTGCTGCCTTTTTTGGCTCCAGCAGTGCAGGAGTAAGCAATGGTTATTTGCTGGGTGGGCAGGGTGGCAGATGGGGGTATTGGGGTGCTATCTGCTGCTTGCTGACAGGCATGGGGATATAGCAGGTGACTGGCAATGCTGGAGTGCTTACTGCCACTTGCTAGGTGGGCAGGATAGCAAGTAGTGGTGGTAGTAGATGGGGCTGGGTGGCAGAGGAATGGGATGGCTCATATTGCAGTCTCTGAGCAGTACTGGGGGAGAACTGGTAGAATGGGCGAGTCCATGCTGCTAATCACCAGGAAGATGGGGGTGTATGCGCCTTTGCTCATCAGGCCTGGACACTTCCAGTTGGCTACAGCCAGCACTCAAGACCAAGCATGGACCAAGTACAAGGAAGGGGGGCTGCCTGGAGTCTGGTTGGGTGGGGAGTCTGGTCCTGCTAACACTTTACAGATCTCTTACTCTGTTTATACCACCCACCCCAGAAGTCAGGGACTACTGCTGCTGAGTAATCTTTTCTCTAGATCCTGAGTACCTCTCTGCTCTGTGGTGACCAGGATCCCTGGAGCTCTTATTCTCCTTCCTGTACTTTCCCGCCTTAGATCTAGTTCATGTCTTGCTCACCTTTCTTCATTCTGGGTATATCTTCACAGTTTCTCTGTCTGCTTTAGGGAATTTTGTTAAATTTCTTTCTCACCCAGCTGGCAGGGTACCTCCCCCTCAGTATCTCTCTTTTTGAGCTGTTTTTGTTCAGTTTGTTCTTTCAGTTGGTATTTAATCTAATTCTTTATCCTTCCATTTGATTCTCAGGGTTCCAGTATTGCCATCTGTATGTTTTACTTCATTTCTTAGGTCTCTGCTATGGAAGGATGGCATGGTGTTTCTGACTAAGTTGTCCCCTGGGCCATCTCTCTTTATTTTTAGAAAAAAAAATCTCCTCTTTCTATACATTTATATATTTTATTTAGTTTGTGGGTAGTCTAGGAGAAGTACTAATTTTGCAATTTTCAAAGGCTATTGGGTTATTCTTTATCTCAGTAAACTACTATTCAGCCTAGGAATGGTCTTGGCAGGTTTCTCAGATACAGGTAGTGACCCCACCTACCCCTGGGTCAGAATCTCTCAGAGGGGATATGAACTTTGTACTTTGAAAAGCTGTCACTGTAATTCTGATGTGCATCTCCAAATAAAAACCTCAGAATTAAACAGAATCCTTAAGGGAAGAGAGAGGGACAGACCCGACCTTTTGTTCCTGCTGTGTTCTCAGAGCCTGGTATAAGATGGCCCCCAATGCCTCTGTGTTAAATAAATGTACAAATAAAATGAGTATTTAAAGTAGAGTAAGGCTTTATATATATATTTATATAGCATCCAGGACATGCCTGTGACATGGTAAGTGTTCAATAAATACTAAATTATTTATGATACTTTTGCTTGGATATTAAAAATTTAAAACTGTACTGAAATGCCAATTCCAACCTTTGCCTAAACCTGGGAAGAGTTTTGGTCTTAATAACTTTTCTTTTTTGATTTTTTAGTTGGGCCTTGCTATTTAGATATAATAAAAAGGAACAAAAGTTTTAATTAACCACAGTGAATTGGCTTCCTTTATAAATCTCAGCAATATACTCACCATATATAGCTGACTGACTTTTTCTTGACACTTGACATAAGCTTCGTAGTCTGCAAAGACTTTAAACCTTTTGCAATTGAAGAAAAAAGCAATAGAAAACTTCATTAACAGATGCATGCTAAGATTTCAATTAAAATTCCCTTTTGCTTAATGTTAGGCAAGGCTGTTTTACCAAGCCTGTTTCCATTCATAAGAATTTTAAGCAGCCCTCAACCTTTTTATGGTTATTCCTTATTAGTCCTTAAGAATGTCATCATATAGATGCATTTGAAAGCTAGGCACACTACTGGAAGGAGGAACAGAACACTAGATTTATGGACTTTATTTTTAAACCTCACTAACATTGTTAGTAGAGAATATCTAGATGTCTTTCCTTACCTCGGTCAGTTTATCAGATCACAGATCTACATTAATCTACATGGATGGGTTGTAGATGGTTTAAGATGTTTCCTTACCCTCTTCACAGCCAAAAGAGCCCTGTCCTTTTACGGGAACTCACCTGTCATGATAAAAGAGCATGTTGATTATATCTTTGAAGAGGTCAGGCTGCTTGGGAGAAAAGAAGCCATTATCAATTTGATCAATGACCAGCTTCAGCTCTGGAAGTGCCTCATAATATTCTTTTGCTTTGTATCTGTGGAATGGTATAAGAAGAAAAAGGTTCTGTTAGTGTGTGTGATGAACAGAAGATCACGGACTACATTAGCTATGCAAATGCATGACTACCAGAAATACTACCACTTATAGAAGGCATTCTAGATTTCAACATGGATACAAATAATTTTGGCTACATCCTGAAGTTTTAATTTTCCTCCTAAATTTGTTCTTTATAACTGAAAACACTAAGAAAAGGGGATTATGAGAATTCTAGTCACAGAGCAGTTTGTCTGATTTGTTAGAATATGGCAATATTCATTTGAAAGCAGATGTCATGGCTCTAAATAAGCATTATCTTAAGTGGACACGTTGCTTTCTAGACTCAAAAAATCTTAAAATTTGTTTTGCTATTGTGGTGGTTATGTTTTTGTGTCAACTTGGCTGGGCCTGGTTGAGTGGCTGGGCAGCTGGATGTAGTATTCCCCATGATGAGAATGGTAATCAACTCCATGGTGGAATCTACTGGGAGCAGCCTTTGGGAATGTGGTCTGCTTCCTGTATATAAGGAGAAGCTTTGAGAATGGTCTCTAGCCTATTGCACGCTTGGACCCTGCATGTAGCTGTGTTGTTGCTCAGCAGCCTGCTATGCTCTGCCGACTTTGGGACTTACAATGGACTTAAGTTAATGGCCTGCCGTGTGGTTTGGTAACATCGGGACTGTACCCTTTTACTTGTCAACCTTGGGGCTTCTCAGCCTCAGCAGTCAGCGGCTGTCTGAGTGAAGAAATGCCTCTAGTTCTGGTGGGCCGGGAGCAGGAGGCGGAGCTGGACCCCAAGGTTGAGGGGCTTTCACCCAGCCCCTAGAGCCTGGCACTTTGAACTTGGACTTAAAGCCTCCAAATTGTAAGAATAAACTCCTGTTTGATGAGGCTATCCCATTTGTGGTATATTTCTCATCAGAACGGCACTAGGTAACCAGAACAGCCACTGAGTGAAAATTTCCTTCCAAGGGTCAGGAAGTATATATTTGACACCCTACAAATGTTGTAGTCCCCACAGCTTCTTCAGGCATTAAGTAGCACTTGTTCTTTATTTCTTGTTGCAACTCAAGTTAGTAAAACTATCTCAATATTAAAGGAAATAAATATTCCTGAGTGTGTCTGTAAATTCTTATGTATTCTCTACCACATTTCTGTCTATCTACCTGAGATCTTAAAAGAACAATAGATAGTGGTTTAAATTATAGGCAAAAACTTCAACTAGAACTAAGTTCATTTTTTTGATCAAAGTGGAAATCACAGATACAGAGAACTCATTAAGAGCTGATTAAGGCCAGCTCTGAAATGGCTGATATCAAATACCGACTACTCCTTGTATCAGTGCCCAAGCTTCCTTTACTTTCATTTGCTGGTTTTAATAAGACTAAAGAGACTCCCCTGATTCCTTACGTGAGATGGTCTGCTGCTGCTGCATCTCACGTGACTTAGCCTCACTGGGCTACTTTGTGGTCAGGAAGTCCTCTGAGCACACTTACCCTCTTGGAAGTGACCAGCCCAACAAAGAGGAGATGCTTACTCACCCTTTCTTGTCCAAAGCAACCACATCATCTACTCTCATGCCAAAGATGAACATGTTCTCTTCCCCAGCTTCCTCTGCCATTTCCACATTGGCCCCATCCATGGTCCCAATGGTCAGGGCCCCATTCAGCATAAACTTCATATTGCCTGTACCCGAGGCTTCAGTGCCGGCAGTTGAAATCTGCTCTGACAAATCTGTGGCTGGAATAACTACGAGCAAGACATATTAAAACCAGTGATTCTAGATCTAGATTCTAGATTCAAATCAGCAATCAGATTGCTCTAAATCTCCTTGTATTGTAGCCCAACATTTATCTAGCTAGTCAGCTTTGATCATTCAACTAGTATGTGCACATCAAAATTAACATTCAAATGGTATAGAAGGGCAAATGTTACTATTTTTCCTTGACTCCAAAAACAAAAGCATACCCTGTTGAGTTGATTCTGAATCATAGTGGCCCTATAGGACAGAGTAGAACTGCCCCATAGGCAGTAGCAGACTGCCTCGTTTTTCTTGTATGGAGTGGCTGGTAGGTTTGAACTGCCAACCTTTTGGTTAGCAACCAAATTCTTTAACTGCTATGCCACCAGAGTGCCTTCCCAATTCAGGTAACCACAACTATCTCCTTTTTTGTCTCATTTCTTGGTGGTTATGGCCACAAAGCTAAATACCTATATGTTTATATTACTTTATTGGTCTATAAACTTTTTTTGTGTGTGTGATTTGGCTGAAACTTTTCAGAGCAAATTCTTCTTCCATACAGCAGCTTACACACACTTTGTCTCATGACATTGACTGTAATCTCCCACAATGCAACAGCTCTCCTTCCACTTCCTCCCCATAGTCTCTTCTTCCCTATGTCCTTCCCTCCATGCACTCCTGCCCCCCAAGCTGTCTCCCTGTGCATACACAGCCCTTCTGTTCTCCCATGATTGATCTCTCCAAGGAGCGTATCTACCTAATTAGATGTTCAGTTGATATGCCCGTCCATTCGTTTGGCTGGAAGCCACAGGAGTGGGTTCAATTCCAGACCTGAAGGGCAGCTAAGGGCCATAATCTCAGGGGTTTCACCAGGCTCCATCAGACCAGCAAACCTGGTCTTTTTTTTTTTTTTTTTTTTTAATGATTTTGAGTTTTGTTCCACATTTGGTCTATAAACTTTAAAGACCATCTCTTGACTTTCTGCTATAAAAGTTGGTACCACATTTATCTTCTCCCAATTTTTGCTATGATTTTTATTTCCTCTACATTTTATAACCTTACAAAATGTCTTTAAGCCTCTCCTTCTTGATCCATAAAATTCAAAGTGTCTGTCCCACTTTATAATAGGAAGAAACAAAATCGGCTACATTTCTTCCACTTCTCACATACAGTGAAATGCCCCTGGGACTAGATACCAGGCCTCTGACCTTTCAGCCTTTTATACACAAATTTATACACAAATTAGTGCTGCCTGAAGACTTGTTTGATGACAAAGGTCAGGACCAACTCTTTGCTTTATTTGAGAGCGTATTTGTAGATTATACATATCTTCCTTTGGACCCAAAAAAGCCTGGCTCTTTTCTCTTGCTGGGACATGCAGACAGCTCTTAAACAGTAACATCAGAGGACTCAAAAGTACCACAGAAAGAGAAAGTTCTTTTATCCTTTCAACATGGAAAGTGGGTGAATACACAGTTGGCATTTGCATGTGCTTGGTGCTTTGTGAGCATGTGATGCAAATAAGCAAAGGTCCTAGCAGTAGAGAAAAGGATGTTGGTGTCTTGCCAGTCTGGCTGCCTTCATGTGGGAAGGTCCACATCTGATCCCGGAGTGCCCATCTGAGGCATGTCTAAGCCTCGTGTTTTGGCAGCCTGACATCTGTCCTAATTCCCTGTTCCTACGTGAAAAGATGAGAGGACTTCTTCCCACACAATGACCAGAGGAAAATCTGGGCACCAAAGAACTGAAATTCTCTTGCAAAATACAAACTGGGAAATGAAGACCTTTCTTCTCTTTGGTGGAAGACAGTTTGCACCATACTGGAACCTCAAGGCTTCCTCCTCTAGTGCTCAGCTCTTCCTAGCTAGTGTAGGAAAATTGCCCTGGTAGATGAAGTCCTGTGAGAGTAACTATGGTGACATCATTCTCATTATCAAATTGAATCACTTTAAAAGCTCTTGGCTTAGGCGCTCATTCTGCCTAAGCTATCCTATATTACTAGCTCCTTGAGGTCAGCTGCTATCATCTCTGTACCATGTAGTCTTTCCCTAGAACAAGTTCTGCAATGAAGGCAGTACCTTTTTCAGCAAGAGACACTCTGTAGTTCTCCAAGAAGATGACTTTCAATTTGCTTCCAACCACAGGGTCATTGTTCACCACATCTGCCACTGAGGTGATCAGCTTTATGATCATTTTGGCCATGTGGTATCCTGGGGCAGCCTTGGAGAAGAATGCCAAACACATGACAGCATGCAGCCATTATGAAATGGAGAAATTAAGAGATTAGAGCCACAGACCCCCTACTAAATAGAACCAACTTACTTTGCCACCAATTATAACTGTTCTGGGCACAAATAACTTCTTAGGGTCTTTCTTAATGCCTGAAAAAGAGAAGTACATGGAACAGAAGACAACTGATGCCTGGGATGGAAGACCCACACTGACACCACTGCTGCCACCTTCAAGGGGCAGAGACCCAGCCTTGGCAGCTCCAGGAGCAACTCACGGTTGTACATGGTGATGACATGCAGGCAGTTCAGGAGCTGCCGCTTATACTCATGTATCCTCTTCACATGCACGTCAAACATGGAGGACGGATTGATCTTTACTTTGTACTCCTTCTCCAGGAACTGAGAAAACTTGAGCTTGTTTTCCTGGTGAGACAGTGTATGATGCCAGAGCCCTTTAGACTCAGAAGAACTGGGTGGTGTATTTTAAAAAACTAGAGTACAAACCTTCAAAGCAAGAGCCGAGAGGGGATCCCACACCTATAAGTCTCACCTGCTTCACATTGGCAATTTCCCGGAGGAAGACGTCATCACCCAGAAAGCTGTGCAGCTTTGTCAGCTGGCTCAAATCTTTCACGTATTCTTCTCCAATTTTCTTTAAATATAAAAGAAGAGGTGATTTTACTTCAGGGGATGGAGTAGTCCACATGGAGTAGTTTCTGCAGGTAGGTAGTGGTGAGTGACTACAATGGTGTAGTCCGTGTAATATACAACATATATAATGGCTTCACTCACCCACAGAAGAGGCTAGAAATTCTATGTGGGAAGATACTTTTGCTAGTGGCATGCAAGAGTTAACACAGGGAATCTACTCAAAAGGGTGTCAAAGGACCCAGGTTCAATCAGTTCTTTGTATGAGCTTCATTATCCTCTTTTACTAAACAGGGCTATCATTTTCCTTCCTTTTGCCATAGGAGTACAGTTAGCCAGGACCAGCTACACAATTTCTGGGGGCGCATTTCCAAATGGTGACAGTAAAGCATTAAACCAAGTGTGAAGTGCTGCTGTGTGTGCAGCTCTGTGGGACTGCAGAAGTCACACGCTGATGAAGCCAACCTTGTAGCACACGGAATTTGCACATTATAAACCCACACATGTGCCTCTTAAATTCTAGTCAGCCCGCCCTTACTCTCAGCACTTCCCAGTTACCTCTGCTATTAACTCTGCAAGTCCTGGGTTGCAGAGTAAAAGCCAGCGCCTTGGAGTGATCCCATTAGTTTTATTCTGAAATTTGTCTGGTTCCAGCTCACTGAAGTCCTTGAATCTGCAGATGGAAGAGACGTATCACTGAATTTGGCTAAAACGGCAGGTTCCTGTATGCTGGCTGAAGTTCAGAGTTACATTTGAGAAGCCAAGTAGGCTTAGAAAGATGAAATAAAAGGAGGGCACTGACAGCAGCTATGGTTGTCATTTTAAATCGAAATTAATTTGCAATTCAAAATAATAATGATAAGGAAAAGTCTTCATCTAATCATCTCCATCTGACCTCCTGGCACTAACATATGTTCCAGACTGTTCAAAGCAGTTTTTTTTTGGATTCGTGAGTCTTGAATCAGGACTGCTCAGAGAAGAAGGCTCTCAATCCCTCCCCGCCTCCCACAAGAGAAGAGTCCTTTGTATAGAATAAAATACATATAAATATTTTTTCCAGGGCTTTTCTTCATGCCCAGAAAGAACCCTACATGTACTAGTGTCATTTCCATTAATGAATCAGTATTAGACCCTCACACTTGCGTCTTCACAATGTCTGAGTGAATTTTAGCCACGCCGTTCACAGCATGGGAGCCCACAATGCACAGATGGGCCATGTTGATCCTTTTGCCTCCTTCCTCTTCTATCAGAGACATCCTTCTCAGACGATTGACATCGTTAGGAAACAAGGCCACAATTCTCTAGCCAAAAGAAGAGAAAAGCCTTGCTGGTCACTCAGGCTTAAAACACTTCACAAACAATCTTTGATGCGGTGAATATAAAACTTCACCCCCACAGAGAGGGGTCAATTTAGTCTGAGGGAGATGACATCTTTCCAGTCTAGCACTTTCAAAATGGTATTTTTAACATAGCCCCATTCAGACTTGGATATTTTTATCACTGTACAATGTTTGGGCCTCATGTTTGATGAGGGTGAAGCCACTCTAACATCTTAAGACCTCATCCGAGTGACAGGCAAACATAAAGAACTTCTCAAAACCACTTACGTCTAAATGCTTCTGATTTATCTCATAAATGATTTGCAAATGTCGAGGAAGCAACTTCTCCACCAGCTCCACTGGCCAGCGCTCCAGGGCTTCAGGGAGCACCGTGTGGTTGGTGTATGCGAAGGTCTTCTGGGTGATTTCCCATGCCTGGGAGAAAGGGTTTTAGATGCTTTCTTCTGCAAGAAAGGCCTCTCTGCAGGCACCCATCCAGTCACACAGGACCAAACATGGTCTGGACCACTTGTAACAGGACAGTATGTATGTGTGTATGCAGTCAGATGCACTGGATTCCACTAGGAATGCTCCATATAGTGGGAATATGTTTTTGGCCAAAAACAAACAAAATACCCAAAACAAAAACAAAACTTATTTGTGTAACTGTCTGGTAAAGCATAAGACACATCTGGATAAATCTTGTCTACCATCCTAACATGTTTTTCGGAGGAGCTCTGGTGGCACAGTGGTTAAAACATTTGGCTGCTTACTAAAAGGTTGGTAGTTCAAACCCACCAGCTGCTGCTCCACAGGAGAAAGATGAGGCACTCTGCTGTGAAGACTTACAGACGTGAAAACCCTATGGGGCAGTTCTGCTTTGTCCTAGTGGGTTGCTATGAGTCAAAATTGACTCAATGGCAGTGGGTTTTGGTTTTAACATTTCTTTCATTTATTAAATATGCAAAGTTTGAGGAAGAAAAACTTAAGTAATGTTTTAAGAAGGCACAAATAAATGTTTAAGATACTGACTTCCAAAGCTATGTGAACACAGCTATATTCATCATTAGAAAATTTAATTTAGGATCCTTTTAGACACAAAGATCATAAACAGAATATAAGCCTTTACAATATAGTGGGACACTGATTTGCGTCCCACAAGGAATGAATTTATTTATTTTTCAATTATGTTCCTTGTAAAACACTGTTGTTGTGTGTTATCAAGTTGATTCTGACTCATACCGACCTTACAGAACAGAGTAGAACTGCCCCGTAGCGCTTCCTAGGCTGTAATCTTTACAAGAGCAAATTGTCAAGTCCTTCCTCCCACAGAACGGCTAGTGGGGTTTGAACCACTGACCTTTCGGTTAGCAGCTGAGTGCTTTAACCACTGAGCCACCTGGGCTTTCTGTAAAGCTCTAGGGAAGGAGAAATGTCTGCATCAGGGCAAAATTTACCTTTAGCAGCTGCCCACTAGCAATAGTAAATTATTTTTAAAAACTGGGAAAGGAGCTTTTGGCAAAATCTCTCAACCACAGACAGTCTGATCAATTAAGGAAAAGAAGCCAAATTGTACAGACCTTAGACCAGGGCAATTTTTCAATATCCACAAAAATCCTCATCAGCTCAGGGATGGCGAGTGCAGGGTGAGTGTCATTCAGCTGGATGGCCACCTGTGTGGGGAAGACAAATCAACTAAAGGTGATGGATGGCCCAGGATATGGCTTCGTTGCCTAGGTAAAGCACCAAACAAAATGCCCACTTTCTACAAAATGCCTTAAAGATAATATTCCTACTATACTTTTTTAGCACTGAGAGAGAGAGAGAGAAGCAAATCTGATAGGAAATCCTGGTCCTCATTTATGGTCACAGACTGAATACTTGCCTGATCTGGAAATGCATCAAACACAGTTTGGGCACTGTCGGTGGAGCCAAACTTGGAGGCTTTGAAACGCCGGATGACATCTTGCAAGGTAGCAGCCACCACAAAGTACTCCTGCTTCAATCTTAGCTCCTTCCCTTCAAAAAACTTCAAGCCAGAGAGATTGAATGAGAGTGGTGCACATTGGTAAGTGTGGCCAGGAAACTTAAAGGATAAAAACCCCATTGCACCTCTGGTGAAAGACGGCAGGTTGAATGCCAAGCATTAGCCTTTGCTCCCCATCTGCCATGAAACCTCACTAAGATGGCAGCAAAGGGGTTTTTAAAAGGCATACAGATAAAGGGCAAAGAGAATGAAAGAAGGGACAATGGCAACAACTTTTTGGAAGCTGAAAAAGAGATGCATGAGTGTAACCCAGAAGACTCAAGAAATCAAGGATCATCAGACAGCTCAGAAAACCCTGTAAGAGAAAGTTAGTCGTCAAAACAATAATATTTTGAATGCTGAAGAGCCAAAACACAACTCAGTTTATACACTGAAGCCTACAAATGCTCAGGAATTGGGTGTAGTGGGTAAGATATTTGGCTGCTAACCTGAAGGTTGGAAGTTCAAACCCACTAGCTGCTCTTTGGGAGGAAGATGAGGCATTCTATTTCTGGAAAGATTTATAGCCTTGGAAACCCAATAGGGGTCACTATGAGTCAGGATCAACTTGATGGCAGTGGGTTTGGGTTTTCTGATGCCTTTAGAAACAGGCGAAGAAATATAATAGGTTAGTTGACGCCTGTCTAAAATGCAGTTGGCCTCAGACCTTATTGCCGATTCCTTCAGCTGAGCCATTTCCTTCCCAAACTCAGGTATAAGCTGGAGGTTTATTTTCTGGGGATGGTAAAAAGGAGTCTTTGGACTGGGGTGCAGCACACACAGTTGAAGACAGAACCATCCCATACTGAAAAGGAGAGGGGTTCAGTGAAATGTACTTCATGTTAAGATTCCCTGCCTCCTCCCAACTAAATTTCAGAATACACGCAGTCCTGTTAATTACACTGTTTAAACTGCAAGTCTTCTCTGGACAACTTGACCAGCCCAAGGGGAAAGACCTAATGCCAATGGCATCAGGAACTGAAGCAGGAAATGGCCCCATGAGATTACCATGTAGTGAAGCAAAAACTGACAACCCCACCCAGTATACAGAGGTCCAAAAAAGCTTTTGGGTACTCCTCTCTTAAATTTTAGTGGGTGGCCAAGGATCTTCAGACAGCTAAGAAAACCCTGTAAGAGAAAGTTAGAGGTCAAAACAATAAACAAAAACCAACTTAGAGGAAACAGCAGTTAGGTAGAGGAAAGAATATTACCAAAAAACTATCAATATCTTAGGCAGATTAGAGAAGATATTGAATTCAAGAAATAAGAACAAGCCCTTCAAATAAAGAATATCTAGAAAAAAATTACTTGGAAAGTACAATATGATAGCTGAAATGAAAAAAACCCAGTAGGACTGGAAGAGAGAGTTGAGATCTTCCAGAAAGTAGAGCAAAAAGACAAAGAGATGGCAAATAAGAGAAAAAGGTAAGAAAACTAGTGGACCAGTTGAGGATGGTCAACATCTGAAAGGGAAAACAGAAAAATGCAGATGTATAAAGAAAATAAAATATTCAAGAATACTTCTCAGGACTAAAGCCCAGAGTTCCCAGATTGAAAGAATGACTGAGGACCTCAGCACAGCAGATAAAAACGGACCTGCAGCGAAGCACACCTCTGAAGGTTTTGGAGGGAGGGACATCATCAAATCTTCCACAGTTCTTTTTTTTTTTAAATAGGTTTCATATAAAAGGATCAAGAGTCAAAATGACATTTTACTTCTCAATAATACTGAAAACTAGAAGACAATAAAAACATATGAATGTCTTGTTCCAAAGCAAACCCAATCTGAGGGCAGAATAAAGATATTTTCAGATGCAAAAGTTCTCAGAAAAACTGGCCTCACACACATCCTTTCCTAGGAAACTCTGGGATCATGTCTGCTCCCAAAACAAGGGAGAGAACCCAGAAAGAGAAAGACTAGGGATCCAGGAAAGATGTGACCTCAGAGAAGAGATAAGCAGAGGTCCTCAGAATGAAATGGAAGGAAATTTTTTTTTTTTTTTTATTAGGATTTGGGTGAAGATTTACAGAGTAAATTCACTTTTCATACAGCAGCTCACATATACTTTGTCTCATGTCATTGACCAAAATTTACAATGCAGCAGCTCCCCTCCCACTTCCTCTCCATAGTTACCTCCTCCCAGTGTCCATCCCTTCATACTCTTCTGCACCCTGAGCTATCTCCCTGTGCATAAGCAGCCCTTCCTTCTCCCATGATTGTTCTCTCCAGGGCGTGTGTCTACTTGAGGTAAATGTTTAACTCACATGCCTGTACTTTGTTTGGCTGGAAACCACAGTTGTGGGTTCAATTCCAGACCTGAAGGGCAGCTAGGGGCCATAGTCTCAGTGGTTACACCAGGCTCTATTGGACCAGCAAACCTGGTCCCCACTGGAAGGAAAATTTTAAGCAGTTGGCTAAGTATTAGACTCAAAGAGCAGTCAATACAGCAGAGACCCAGAAGAGAATTTTTCAAGAAGACTGAGTTAATGAACTATATCATGTGTTTGAATACAAGAAGATTTATACAAGTGAGGAAGAGTGTGGGTTAATTAAGGAAAAGTACTCAGACCAGAAGGCTGTCATATGTACAGAACACGGGGATACTGCATGGTTTAAAATCAGGAAGGGAATGCATCAGGGTTGTATCCTTTCACCATACTTATTCAATCTGTATGCTGACCTAATAATATGGGAAGCTGGACATTATGAAGAAGAACATGACATCACGATTGAAGGAAGACTCATTAACAACCAGTGATATGGAGATGACACACTTTGCTTGCTGAAAGTGAAGATGACTTGAAGCACTTATTGATGAAGATTAGACTACAGTCTGCAATATAGATTATACTTCAACATAAAGAAAATGAAAATCTTCATAACTGGGCCAATAAGCAGCTTCACAATAAACAGTGAAAAGATTGAAGTTGTCAAACATTTCATACTACTTGGTTCCACAATCAACACCCATGCAAGCAGCAGTCAAGAAATCAGATGATGTATTGCACTGGGCCAATCTGCTGCAAAAGACCTCCTTAAAGTGCTGAAGAGCAAAGGCGTCTCTTTGAAGACTAAGGTGGGCCTGACCCAAGCCATGGTATTTTCAATCTCCTTACATGCATGTGAAAGCTGAACGATGAGTAAGGATGATCAAAGAAAAGTTGATGCTTTTGAGTAGTGGTGTTGGCAAAGAATGCTGAAAGTACCATGGACGGCCAGAATGAACAAATCTGTCCAGAAGAAGTGCAGCTGGAATGCTCCTTGGAAGTGAGAATGGTCAGACTTTGTCTTACCTACTTTGGTCATGCTGTTAGAAGGGATCATTCCCTGGAAAAGGATGTCATACTTGGTAAAGTGGAGGGTCAATGAAAAAGGCAAAGGCCCTCAACAAGATGGACTGACACAGTGGCTGCAACGATGGGCTCAGGTATAGCCAAGTACTGTGAGGCTGTGCAGGACCAGGCGGTGTTTCATTCTTTCATACACAGGGTCACTGTGACAGTCAGAGCCGATTCATAGCACCTAACAACAACAACTCAGAAAACCAAGCAGATAAGCACAGTAAACAATTATCAGCTCCAGGAAAAACAACAACTTCTTAAAGGAGGGAAAGTAATCATTACATGATATACATATGTATGGTTCAGCTGTCAGTGGTATTTACATAGTCACAATAATGTAAATACTGTTTAAGGAGCTACTTGAAATTACAATGCAATTATGTTGAAAGAATGGGGCAGGACATGTTTTTAGGTGCTGGTGGGAGTGTATGTGAGAAAGTGAGGTACATGATCATCTTTAATAGCAGGGAAGCAATAAACAATTGTAAAAAATGGAAAAATCAAGAAGTAGCAATAACAGCATACTATTTAGAAATATGGACTTATTTACCAGAAAGTCAAAGAATTGGAGTGTAGTTATTTCTGAGAAGATGGAAATGGGAGACTATTTTTATAATCTTCATGTTTTTCTTTAAATTCTCTGTGTGTGTGGAGAGAGGTGGAGAGAGGTGGAGAGAAGTGGAGAGAGAGGAAGAGAGAGGGAGAGAGGGAGAGAGGGAGAGAGGGGGTGAGCGAGCGCTCTAGTAGCATAGTGCCTAAGGCACTTGACTGCTAACCAGAAGGCTGGCGGTTCAAACCCATCAGCCACTCCTTGGAAGGAAGGTTTAGCAATCTACTTCTGTAGTGATACTGCCTCACTATGAGTTGGGGTTGACTCGAAGGCACATAACAACAACAACATATATAACTTTGATAAAAATAAAAAACTGATAAAAAAGTGTTGTTGTTGTTAGGTGCCATTGAGTTGTCTCTGACTTACAGTGACATTACGTACAACAGAACGAAACACTGCCTGGTCCTAAATAAAAAAAATAATTGTCATTAATGGAAAGATGTCTGGATTGATATTAGCAATGATAATTTATATGGGGTAAGTTTTGGAATGGGTTTTTTTTTACTTTCTTCCTGGTCATTTTTTAAATTGCTTGCATTTTTTTTTCTAATGACACATTTCACTATAATAATGAAGTCACTGTTCTAAAAAGAAATAAAGAACATTATGGGTCCATCCATAATGAATTTAAACATTTAGTGAGCCAGGGAATTTTTAAGGTCCTAGACATAAAAGGAATAATTAAACACAATTGTTGACTTCAAGAATCTATCGGAGAAAGAGAGACATTGTAAATAAGTTTTAAATATAATGTGATAATTAAAAAAGTAATAATAAAGTATGTACCCAGTACTTTGGGAAACTGGATAATCAGGAAAGATTCTTTTTTCTGAGCTGTGAAAGATGTGTAGGAGTTTTTTAGATGGACACACAGAGGGCCACAGTGTTCCGTGAATCCAGAGGAAGCCTGTGAGAGGTCTGTAGGTGAGAAAGAACAGGGCAAATATTTCAGCTGGGGTCTTGTTGCTTGCGCAAGATCATGTTAGGTGAGTCCTCTGACTCAACCATGTCCCTGAAGAACTTAGGTAACCTGCCTAAGATTCTGCACTTCTCACACAGGTGATCAGATGCCTTTACAGCAGAGAACAAATATCTTACTAGTTGTAGAATGAGTACAGGTGCAAGATTCTTGGAAGGGAGACTAATGCCCAGCCTAACACCACAGCAAGGCTGGGACGAGGGAATCAATTTGTTCTTGTAATTATAGTATAAAATTGATTTTTGTACTCACACTACAAAAACATGATCCTGAGAGCTACCATTTTGCCTCATGCTAACTTAATAGATACTATCAATTGCTGTAAGTAAAGGTAGATTTGGTCCTCACTGAAATAGGATGACGTGAGGCATTTTTAATACACGATATTTAAAACTCATTGTGGAGTGGGAAAATTAGGAGTGGGAAAATTTTAATATTACAAAATTTTTAACAGGACTCAAGTGGTATCAGTGATGACGTCTTCATTTTGTTCAAGGCCAAATGGTAAGCTACTGGTAGATACATGATATTATGCATTTGCATTAACTCATAGAACTATACAACACAAACAGTGAACCCCAATATCAACTAAGGAGTTTAGTTAATAATAATGTACAGTCATGGGCTACATAATGTCTGTTTGGGCAACATCTGACCCTATATGTATCTGTGGTCCCAACCCTCATAAAGCCTTTTATATTAAAAATGCGAGGGACATACAATGGTTCATAAAAACAAATGGATGTTACTTTGCGACATGCATCAAACATATTATTATTACTGTATTATTATGTCAAAGATGTTTTAATGTATCTAAAAGTGTTTCTTTAATGTTTCTTATACATAGAAAGGTTCACTATATACTAAGACAAACATTTGCCTGACTGATGTTCGACATGAACTGTCCCTAACTGTTATGACTTACATACAAATTAAAAACAGACTTAGGAACAAACCTCATTTGTAAGCCAGGGACAACCTGTATGTAATATGATAATCACATAACATCCAAGTCATGTAACTTCCTATTTCACAGAACGTATCATGGACATTAAGCAACACATGACTGTATTAATATTGGTTAACCAATTGTAACAAATGTACCCCACTAATATGTTTAGTAACATGGGAAACTGTGCTAGGGGGAAGAAGAATGTATAGGAACTCTGTACTTTCTGTTTTTCCCTAAACCTAAAACTGCTCTGAAAAAATAAAATGTATTCATACACACACACACACACACACATATATATACATACACACATATACATGTATATATACATACATATATTTATGTAGCACTCTGGTGGTATAGCACTTAAGGCATTTGACTACTAATCAGAAGGTTGGTGGTTCAAACCCACCAGCAACTCTGCAGAAGGAAGACTGGGCCATCTATTTCCATAAAGATTTTACTGCCTTGGAAACCCAAAGGGGGTTGCTATGAGTTGGAATTGACTCGACAGCAGTGAGTTTGGTTTTGTTGGTTTTCTGCCTTTATAGATGAAATTTATGTTTAGAAAGGGAGAAGTGCTCTACGTCATCTTTTACATCCAGTTTTGTTCTGTAATACATCTATAGAGCCTCTCTAGTTAGTGATGAGCCTCTGTAGTTAGTGATGAGGAGCTCTGGTAGCCCAGTGCCTAAGACACCTGACTGCTAACCAGAAGGCTGGCGGTTCAAACCCATCAGCCACTCCTCGGAAGGAAGGTTGGGCAATCTACTTCTGTAGTGATACTGCCTCAGAAACCCAGGGAGGGGTCACTATGAGTCGGGTCCGACTCTACAGCACATAACAATAACAGTTAGTGATGGGGTCATTCATCAAGGGCAAAATAGCCAATTTGATTTGGTGAATTATGCAAATTTGCTTTCCTTACTTGAGTGGGAAGAGAAATCTACACAATTTAGCAAGAGATATAGAGCTTCTTCTGCATGTGAAGAGAGAAAGCAATATGGAATACGTGCTTTAGAGGGCTACTGAATATGCTGTTGTGAAATACGCTGCTTCTGTTTCCACTGAAAGACTGTGCTTGATCACTCACATTATCATTGGGATAGAGGACCCGGGAGATGTTCTCAGCCAGGTTTCGGTCCAGCACAGCCTGGATGTAGTCTCCAACGTTGACTGAGGAGAATGTTAGAAAAACAAAGAAACAGAGAAGCCAGCCGTTACCACTGTCAGCCTGCAGATCCAGTGGTGTCAGGAAGGAGTATTGGGGGGAGGGTGTGCAAACCACACTGGTGACACTGTCAGAAGGGGTGACACCACAAAGACTGTTTAATACAATTTTTGTACAGTGTTTCAGCAGAAATGTACTTTGTATGAAAATATCCCTGTAGTTATAATAACAAAAAGATTTTTCATTAAGCCCAGCTTACATGTACCTACAAGACTACAACTCTATGCTAAATTACCTTTTGAACCTTCTAATGCAGGCTGGTAGAGCTGTCATTATTATCCAATTACAATAATGCTTTGAATTACATGGTTTCATCTGCACACCCTACAAACATGCACTGTTGTTTTTGTTCCTGCCATTTATGGTCACTGATTTTGACAAAATTTCTTGTGTTTTAGTTACAATATTGTGGTATTTAGTATTTGTGAACCTCTATCAATAACTTTTTTTTGAGAATGTAGTAGTAATTAAAGGAAATGAATGAGAAAAATCATAAAAGGCCTCCACTCAGTTACTAATAATGTTGTAATTCAATATAGAAAGGTTTTACAAACCAATTTTATTGTCAGTATTCATATAATCTAAGAAATATTACATTTAAGAAACATACAACTACATTTATTACATATTATTCTGTGATTAAAATTGAGAATAAACATTAACTAAGGTTCTGTCTGGCCTGGTACAGGAGGAGGTCCATGGAGTGATGACTTCTTGAGTTACCACACTAGGTGACACCAACCCTATGACGTCACTGTAGAGACCTCACTTGATTCTTGCTGCATGCCATGTGGGATTCCTAAAGCTTCTAAGAATCCAGAAGCATTTCAACAAACCTTTATGATAAGCTTTACATAAGAATCTAAGAAGGTCATACTGAAGAACTGCTTTAAAATGGCCACTATACCTGCTTAGTCACTGAAGACTACAGAAACTTCAATGTGGTTCTAATGAGCAATCAAAACAACTAAATACACACAAACAAACCAAAGCCCAGCTGTACTCACAGTCTCTGAGGTTAAAATCATTTGGTGCCCGTGCAGACCAGAGGCGCATGGTGTTGACAGTATTATTCATATATCCAGGCACTGGGGTGTCATATGGCAAAGCCAGGACCACCTGTGGGATTAAACCAAAGCAGTTGCTCACTGTTTCCAAGATATGATAATGCAGATTAAACAATGAGTTGGGGATAGCCAGTTCGAATTCTGTTGCTGACTTCATACCCAATCAAGTTGTGTGAGGCCTAGCCCTGGAAGAGGGTCGCAGGGCTGGGAAAAGTATTAGAGGGCACCTGATTTCCTCCCCTTTCACACTGGGACAACCACATCCAAACTGTTCAGACTGATGGTCTTCTTTCCACACAGACTTCCCTCATGCCCTTTGTCTTGAAACAGGTACAATGAAATGTTGTTGTGTCCAGCTAGTCAGTTCTGACTCAGTCTCCACACAGGTCAGAGTAAAACTGCCCCATAGGTTTCCTAGGCTATAATTTTTATGGAAGAAGATCACCAGGTGTTTTCTCCAGCTGCACAACCAGGTGGTGGTGACCCTCCAGTTTGTAGCAGAGCACTTAACCATTGTGCCACTAGAGCTTCTTCCAATGAAACACAATGCTGTGGTATTAGCCTTAGAAGAATTTTGACTTATACCATAGAGCATGTTTGAGATGAAACATTTGCCCTTCCAAGTTTAAGTACAAAGAGTTTGTACCCATTTAAAAAACAGCAATCAGGATAAGTTTTTATGTAGGTTATTCAATGATCTGATTTTAAATACGGTGATAATGAGTGGAACAGGGAATTTATAAAGATGTTTAAAATGCTATGCAGGATTTTAGGAAGTTGCATAAAGGGTTATTTCAGTGAATCCTACAGTGATCTGACAATTCACTTGATAATTAGCTGAGATGGGTCTAAAAGCTGAGGTTTGAAAAATCCAGCTCAGTATTTCTGACAGTGAAACAGAGAACAGGAAGATGAACTATGTTTCACAGTGAATTTAAAATTTATGTGATAAATGAGTCATTCCTATTACCTGCCTCATCAGGGTCAGGCTCTAAGGAAGGAGAGTGACAAAACAATTGAATTGGAGGAATGCTAGAGATCATTTAATGAAACCCACTCATTTGGGAGTCAAGGGGGCTGAGGCTCAGAGAAGTGACTTGCCCAAGGTCACAGTCAGTGGCAGGGCTGAAACCCAGACATAAATCTCTTTAATGTCATCTACTGAATTATGAATGAATGAAGCATTATAACTCGTATCAATCATATGTATTCAGGCATGCTTTCATGACTGCAATGACCTGGAAGTAATAAATCACCTTTATTTGACTATCTTTAACTAGGAAATAAAGGTCTCTGGAGATTTTTAAAACAAGTTGTAATCAATCAGGGAAAGTGATTTAATAAGTGAGATCGAGTCTGCGTTCAGTGGGGTAGCCCAGGAAGTGCCCTGCTCAGATCTCCCTGTTGTTGTTGTTATGTGCCGTTGAGTCGGCCCCAACTCACAGCGACCCTTCCTTGGGTTTCCGAGGCAGTATCACTACGGAAGTAGATTGCTCCATCTTCCTTCCAAGGAGTGGCTGGTGGGTTTGAACCGCCAGCCTTCTGGTTAGCAGTCAAGTGCCTTAGGCACTATGCCACCAGATCTCCCTGTAGAGAACTTCAAAGAGAACATACTGTGAGGAGTGTGTAGTTAGCTGACTGCCTCTAGAGGCCACCTCAGAGCCCATGCCAATGCCATGTTCTCATCAGGACACTTCCAGCCGCTGAGGAAGCATGGAGGGAGCTCTAGAACTGGACTCCATCAGCCTGGCTGAGACTTGCTCAGAGCTGCAGCTTAAGTCTCTTTCTACCCAGTTGCCCTTCCCCCATCTCCTTTCACAGGTGTAACATCTGAACAGTGGTCTGAAGGATTGCTACCTCCTCCTGCTTCCTCTCCCTTGATCTTTCATAGGCAATATGTCACTTGCACTTTAAATTCTCTCTTGGTGCCTGCTTCTCAGAGGACCTAACTTGACACAAGAATATAATGAATGGCTCAGTTTACTGGAAGTTGCCCACTGCATGCACAGGGTGTCTGAGCTCAGCCTTCTGACCTCACTAGTTACAAATCTTGGGGGTCATTCAGGTGATGGCTTCAATTCATAATGTCCTGCATGGCCTGGGTCAGCTTACCCTATGTCACCTCTGTGCTATAACCTTGCTTTGTGAGCACAGAAAAGCACATACTCTCTAATTGGATTTCTGGGTGCATTATGAAAATGTCTAGAGGTGCTTTGCAGATACAAGTTAGCTCCACAGTGGGTGTCAAAATCGATACCAACTACTTGCTAGTTTAATACCAAATACATGTGTGAATTCTTTAGACATTAATGACTGATTTATTCACAGCTCTCCTGATAACATCTGTAACCAAGTGCAATTTAAATTATGGTTTATTGTTCAGCCACATGAAACAAAGAACTTACCTTGAAGTCGCTATTTGTTTATTACTTACTATTATAAGATAAATTACCTATTTCAGTTTCCAGTCCATTATCTCATATGTTGAATAAATTCATATTGAGATGTTGTTGCTGTTATGTGCCGTCAAGTCAGACCCGACTCATAGCAGCCCCACCTTGGGTTTCCGAGGCAATATCACTACGGAAGTAGATTGCCCCATCTTCCTTCCGAGGAGTGGCTGGTGGGTTTGAACTGCCAGCCTTCTGGTTAGCAGTCAAGTGCCTTAGGCACTACGCTACCAGAGCTCCCTCAAATTGAGATAGTGAACAGTTTTTTAAAACGTCTTATTTTTTGAAACTTAAATTGCTCTATACAGATTAGCAGAACCAATCATTAGTTTTTATTTTAATTAGCTATAACATGTATCATGGTTCTTTTAAGGTAAAATGAAGCATTTATTCATGGAGAATAATCTACAAACCAACTGACTTTAGGATTACAACACTGAATTCCACTCCTAATTTTGATATATAAGAACATTATTTACTTGGCCTTTACCATTTCCTTTAAATTTCTAAAGAATGACTATTAATAGATCTTTTCCAGCTTGAGGACATTTATTAAACAGATACCTCAAGTGGAACCGCCAGTGAGTGTACAGCACAGCCTGGTAGTTAAAAGGGGTCATTTACCAGGAAATACGAAGCAAATCACACTCTGAAGCATCAGAGGTGCTTAAAAGTGAATTATTCAGTGAGAGGGTAACACGCAAATCCAGTGCAGGATACATGCATGTCAGAGAAGTAAGTACAACTACTATGGCTGACATGGACATTATTTCTCTGGAAATTATTTGGCATAAAAGAAAAGAATATGTTTTGCATTTTTTTCTTGACTTTACAATGAATAAGAACTTTGGTGATTTCTTGAGTTAATACCTCAGTATTAAAATAATTATCGCTAAGAAGTTGTAAATAAATGTATATATGGTGGTAGTGTGAGGTATCAAGTTTATATAAAACTAGAGAGCTAAGCATGCTGGGTATTAAAGAACGGATTAACCTCTAATGATGTTGGCCTGCAGAATGACCATGGTAAATCTCTTGACCTTGGGGAAGTAATTTCTTTCTTGGCTTCAACTTCCTTGTCTCCTAAATAAGTGAATTTCACTAAAAGGAATATTAGACTTGTTTTAAAATACACTCTAATACTCAATCTACAACCTATTATACTCAATAACATACATACATTATATTCTATACTATATGTTTTGTGTACTACCCACTGCTATACTATCAAAATGTTCATTGTGAGGACACTCTGAATACCTGGGTATCAATCCACTTGGTCCCAGTCTTGGTGTTCTCCACTCTTCCATAGAAGTGAACAGGCAACATGAACTCAGGGCGGGCCTTCTCCCAGGGGTTTCCATGCCTCAGCCAATCATCTGCCTCTTCTACCTGTAAAAAGAACATAGAACTAGTTTTCAGGAGGAGGCGTGGACCTAAACTTTAATTATAGCAAAACAAAAATAAACTGAATCAACTCAATAATACTGATTTTGTCAAGAAAGATTGGTTCAGTCCATCTCAATTCATTTTTGTTATTATCATAGAGTCTAAATCAACGCCAAATAGTTGTTGGTGTCACTCTAAATGTTTCACATGTATTATTGCATTATCATTTTCATAGCAACAATGAAAACATTTTGGTGGGGTTTATTTTTTTAAAACCTGTTTTATTTTATTGTAATTTTGGTGAAAAGTTTACATAGCAAATTAGGGTCCCATTTAACAATTTCTATACATACTGTTCAGTGACACTGGTTACATTTTTCAAAATGTATCAGCATCCTCATTATTTCCATTTTGGTTATTCTGTTTTTATTAATCTAGCTTCCCTGTCCCCCTTATCTTCTCATCTTTGCTTTAGGGTAAGTATTTGACCATTTGGTCTCATACAGATGATTATTTAAAGAAGCAAAGTACACACGGGTAATATTTATGAGTCAATCTATTATTTGGCTAAGTGGTGACATCTGGGAGTGGCTTCAGTTCTAAGTTTACAGGGTATCTCAGGGCAATAGTCTTGGGGAGGGGGGGTTGCAGATTCTCTAGTCTCTACCAATCCAGTAAGTCAGGATTTTTTTAGTAAGTTGAGCTTCTATATTTTTCTCCCATTCTATCCAGGACTATCTATTGTGTCCCTGGTTGTTAGTGGTAGCTGGGCATCATCTAGTTTTTCTGGTCTTAGGATAGATGAGGTTGTGATTCATCTGGGCTAACAGTCCTATAAACTCATTTATTCTTTAAGTCTTTGTTCCTTTCTTTATCTTTTGCTCCAAACAAATAAACACCAATAGTTATATCTTAGATGGGATGGCCGCTCACACGCTTTTAAGACCCGAGATACTGCTCACAAAACTAGGATGCAAAACAGTATCTTTATGAACTATGTTATGCCAACTGACTGAGTTGTCCTTGAGACTATGGTTCTATGCCTTTAAACTCAGTAAACCAATCCCGAGAGGTGTTTGGTTATGCCTAGGAAGTACCCACAACTGTGTCCTCTATGTGCTTTATTATATATATGACTATGTATGCAGAATGCACACAAACATGTATAAACATGTGCCTACAGATATACCTATACATGCACACCCATATACATGCTCATGTGCCTTTCTATACATATATATATATATATATATATATATACCTACCCATGTAACCACACACATCATTTCTGGATGTTATTACTATTGTTGAAAAATTATGTCATAGCATTTACCAAAATTATTTCTTATTCTTGTGTACTACTTAGTGTTATCATTTGCCTTGATTAAGTTGTGCAGACATCACCCATATTGGGTACTGACTTTCCTGTCACCAAAAATGACAAGTGTCTACTATCTAGGTGATTCTAACTCCCCTTCTCATCCCTGGTAATCACAGAATGTTGCTTTCTCTGTGTGTATAGCTATTCTGGTCTTTTTAAAAAAGTGAGAACATGCTGTATTTGTCGTTTTGTAATTGACTGACTTCACTCAGAATAATGTTCTCCAGAATCAGCATGTTATAAGATGTTTTGAGGATTCATATTATTCTTTATAGTTGCAACATATTCCATTGTATGTGTGTACCACAGTTTGCTTATCCATTTGTCCACTGCTGGGCACTTGTTTCCATCTTTTTGCTATTGTGAATAATGCTGCAATGAACATAGGTCTAAATGTCTATTCATGTCAATGCTATTAGATCTCTAGGGTATGTACCTAGGAGTAGGATTGCTGGATCATAAGGTATTTCTATTTCTACCTTCTTGAATGAGTGCCATAACATTTTCCATAGTGCTTGTTCTAAGCAATGTCATTATAAACAGAGAAATTACTGAAGTTGTCAAGGATTTCATTTTACTCTGATCCACAATCAACGCCCATGGAAGCAGCAGTCAAGAAATCAAACGACATGCTACATTCGGCAAATCTGCTGCAAAAGACCTTTTTAAAGTGTTAAAAAGCAAAGATGTCACTTTGAGACTAAGGTGTGACTGACTCAAACTATAGTATTTTCAGCTGCCTCACTGCAAGCAAATATGGACAATGAATAAGGAAGACTGAATTGAATTATGGGGGTGGTTAAGTTTATTGAATCTACAATTTAAGGAAGACTGAATTGAATTATGGTGTTGGTGAAGCATATTGAATATACCATGTGCTAAGAATGAACAAATGCCTGGAAGAAGTATAGCCAGAGTGCTTCTTAGAACAGAGTATGGTGAGACTTGGTCTCAAGAACTTTGGATATGTTTTTAGGAGAGTCTAGTCCCTGGAAAAAAGACATTATAGTTAGTAAAGTGGAATCAGTGAAAAAGAGGAAGACCTTCAGCAAGAGGGACTAACACAGTAGATGCAACAATAGGGCTCAAACACAGCAATGATCAATTGTGTGGATGGAGCAGTACCAGGCAGTGTTTTGTTCTTCTGTACAGAGGAACTCTATGAATCAGAACCAACTCAGTAACACCTGACCACCAGCAACCAGCAGTGTATTAAAAGTTCCAATCTACCCAGAACCTTGCCAACATTTCTTGTTTTCTGGTTTTTTTTTTTGATCATTGCCATTTGTGCAGGGGTGAGATGACATCTCATTATAGTTTTGATTTGTGTAATTGGTGGGGCATATTTTTAAAGTAAATGTATTATCAATGAAATATTTAAAATATTATATATATATTAAAAAAAATGGAATTGTTCTCTGAGAAAAGTGAAAGGAGTTTTTCAGTACAAAGTACCATTGTCAACAAGATTATTCCAAATACAGTTATTTTATCTACTTGATTCCCCATCCTTACCCCTTAGAAATTCTGCTTTAATTTTAGAAGACACTGCTTATAAATTATGACACAATACTAGCTGCCTTATTATTACATAAACATGAGTTCAATGTCTGTCCAAGGTACAGTGCGGCACAGCGTAGAAAGAAAGAAACAAACACAGCTATCTTTAGAGACATTAGACAAAACATTAATGTCAACAGGCAGGCAAGTAAGTATACATGTATTTATTCAAACACTGACCATGACTTTATATCAAAAAACCAGGAAGCTTCCCAGTAATATTAACTACCAGCATAATGATGAATGAAAAAGGAACTCATAGAAACTACAACTTTACGCATGCACCTCAAGTACTGCCGTCGAGTCGATCCAACTCATAGCGACCCCTCCTTGTGTTTCCAAGGCGGTATCACTATAGAAGTGGATTGCCCAACCTCCCTTCTGAGGAGTGGCTGCTGAGTTTGAACTGTCAGCCTTCTGGTTAGCAGTCAAGTGCGTTAGCCACTATGCCACCAGAGGTAGGGAAAAATAGGTCATTTCCTAAATCTTCTACTTTGTTAACAAGGCTTAATGGAAGAGATGGGTGGTAGCTGCTAGAGGAAGGAGGTGCAGAATGAAGTCTAGGAAAGGCTGGCAGAAAAACTGAGCTAACCAGCACTTCTCAAACTTAAATGTGTGTATGCACCATATCTTGTTAAATGCAGATTCTCGATTGGTCTGGAGAGAGATAGGAAATTCTACATTTCTAACTGCTGATGCTGCTTGTCCCTTAATTACACAAAGAGCAACAAGGGGCTACATGGTGATACAAAATCAGTAACTAATTCTACCATTCAGAATTTAAACCAGACTTCTTCTATCCCCAGTCATAAAGAGAACAAAATAAGTAAATAAATAAATAAAATTTTAACATGGAACCTGCTGATGTTCACCAACTGATAAAGGTTAGAGTCTACTAGCAGGTATTGATAACTAGAAACTCCATGGCAAATAAATGAAGATATCAACAAAGGATCAAAACATCCTGAATTGCAATATGCTATATTAAGTGAGGCAAGGGCAGCTTTTGGGTTTTAAAATACTGGTCAGTGTGAACACTACTTCCTCTAACAAGAAGGAACTGTAGGCCTGTTGCCTCACTGCAGTACTCAGGGCTGTTGTAAGGCACATTTGAAAGTGCTGCATGAAACAAGACAGTGGTGAGGTAGTAACTGTCTTCCTCTGCGTGGGAGCGCATGGGTGCACAGATGAGAGAGATTTTCCGCTGAGAAATGCGTAAAATCATATAAGGTTCTACCCCCAAGAAGCTCAAAATGCTCATGGAACACAGAGTAAGGGGCTCTGAACTTCCCACCACCACTCCCTTCGCTGGTGATACACTATGCAAGTCAGAGGCTATGTTTCCTCTTTTGGGGGTTCATGCTTAAGAGAGAAAGGTGTAGTCTAGCTGATTGCTCTCAATGCCATCACACGTTGGCCTAATTTTTGCTTAGCAGATAATGGCTGGTTTTAATTTTACTGATTAACAAGTTCTGTAGAAGACCTTGTTATTCTGAATCTCTTGCTGTAGGTAAAGCGTCAGTTAACAATTTTCTCAATTTTAGCAAGGCCTAGTTTTAATGTAACTTGAAAAACATGTTTTCTATAAACACAAGCTGGTCCTAGCAAATCTGAGGAGAAAGATAGAATTGCCTCCTGTCACTTCTGCCTCCTACCTTTCTTTGTTCCAATGAATTAACAAATTGGCCTGCAAGTGCAGATTACCATGTAACCAGCTACCCCTGAATGCACTAATGTGTAGAGGCTTGTGGAGAATGGGGGCAAGACAGGAGAAGAGCTTTTATGTACATCCAAGTGTGATACTGGCTCTGTTTCCTCTCAGATGCTACACAGGGCTGGGACAAAGCCAGTGTGGCTCTGTGGGGTAAAGGAGCAATGTGCCAACCTGGTGGGAGAAGGGCAGCTGGAGTTGGCTCTGCCTGGAGGAATTACTCAATGTACTCAATGGAATCTGTATCTCAGCCAGCATGGACACAGAGGTCAGCTCAGGGGGCTCTGTCAGTGATAGAATTCTAAGAAATGCTTTTCCCCTCAACTGTGGGACACACAGAACATGAAGAACCAGTGAACACAAGAGGAAAGGTCAACATGTCACTAGTTTTGTGTATTTCACTGTACATAAATTATATTTCAATAAAATGTATTTAAAAAAAAAGAGGAAAGGTCAATAAATTTTACTTTCTGAAGATACAAATAATTGAAGAATGTTTCTGCACAGCACCAAGAATTCAAAAATGGAGTCCCTGGGTGGTGTGAATGGTTAATGTACTTGGCTGCTAACCAAGAGGAGGTTGGCGTCTACCCAGAGCTACTTCAGAAGAAAGGCCTGGTGTTCTGGTCACTTAGTGCTGCTCTGACAGGAAATATACCACAAATGGGATGGCTTAAACAAACAGGAGTTTATTCTCTTACAATCTGAAGGCTAGAAGTCTGAGTTCAAAGTGCCAGGTTCTAGGGGCTGGGTGAAAGCTCCTTGACCTTGGAGTCCAGCTCTGCCTCCTGCTTCCAACTAGAGGCATCTCTTCACTCAGATAGCTGCTGGCTGCTGAGGCTGACAAGCCCAAGGTTGACAAGTAAAAAGGCACAATACACACGGCAGGCCATTCATTCAAGTCCATCATAAGTCCCGAGGTTGGCAGAGCATGGCAGGCTGCTGAACAACAGTAGGACTACACACAAGGTCCAAGTGTGCCATAAGCTAGAGACTATCCCCAAGGCTTCTCTTTATATACAGGAACCAGATCACATCCCAAAGGCAGCTACTCAGCTGCTCACAGTAGATTCCACCATGTAGTTGATTACCAGTCTCATCACGGGGAATGCTATATCCCACTGCCCAGCCACTCAACCAGGACTAGCCAACTTGACACACAAACTTAACTACACCTGGTGATCTACTTTTAAAACATCAGCCAATGAAAACCTCGTGTGGCACAGTTCTACTCTGACACACATGAGATTACCATGAGTCAGACTCAACTCCACAACAACTGGTTTGTTTTAAACTAGATGTTTGTTGGGTAATGTGAACTGTGCATGACTGGCTGTAGCAAACTTGGCATGGGTTCTAAGAAGAAAGAGAAGAGTTCAAGCAGACACAGTCCGATTCAGCTCTGAGATACCTACTTCAAATGCTTTTCTACCCAGAATTTTGGTGTAACTATTAAACTTTTCTGTGAGGTTGCTGCAATTGCCTTTCTACCTCTTTTCCCCAGTGGAGAGTTCTTTTCATAGAAAACTATTATTGTTAAGGTTTCAATGACTCCACCAGAGTTCATGTTAAGTCAAGAATTTTAGTGACAAAATTATTTCCCCCATTAGATTTCACTGTGAACATTTTATTAATGAAAATCTTCCCTGAAGAGAGGCTCAAAAATTCAGAGTCCATCAACCTTTAAAGATCTTCCTGGTTTGCAAAACTGATGTCAGCCTTCTCTATATCTGCACTTGTTAAAGTAGTGAACAGGGATAGGAGTTATATCCAGAAGAAGCATGCTGCTTTCCAGGCAGATGGGTTTTATTATTTATGAAAACAGATCTTTTTCATTATATGATAAATTTTATGTTTGCCCTCTAAAACCCATTCCAGTAAACAATGGCTGTTGTAGATAAAATTATGATGTGTCTCTTGATTTAAGTCACAGTGAAACACCAAGAAGTGACGATGGTTAGTAAGGCTAGCTTTACAAAACTTTGGTTTAACAAAAGACATTGGTGTCTCCTTTTCTTTAAGAACACTGGAAATATATATCTTCTTGGTCTGATCAAAAGGAGCTCTGGTGGCATAGTGGGTAAGGCATTTGCTGCTAATGAGAAGGTTAAGGTTCAAACCCATTGCTGCTCCGTAAAGATTTACAACCTTGGAAACCCAGTGGAGATCCCTATGAGTCTGAATGGACTTGATGGTAATGGGTTTGGTTTTTGGCTTTGGTCTGACCAAACAGAAAAGAACAGCTTCATGGAACAAAGACCATTCAAAAGTAGTAGCAAGAGTAAATGAAATTAATCAAAAGTGACCTTTTATAAAATATTTTGAGAAAATGCACTTGAGGAAGAAGAATGATTTTTCTGAGTTTCTCTCAAAATTTTCACACAAAAATAGTTAAAAGATAAAAGACAAAATTCTCAGGCATTCTGAGGCATAATTAGTATCACACAATAATACTTTCAAAGACTGAAAATGGATACCATGTGCGGTTTGGTCAGGCTGTGCCAGAATGTTGCTAGGGTAGGCTTCTCATCATATAATTCTAGAGAAGGGAACCAATTCTTTTGTTTTCATAACTTTCTATGATTATGAAACACACATTTCTTATGAAATATGAGAAACGTAGAAAAGCAAATAGAAGATGGTAAAAGTCGCCTGTGATCTCAATCCTCAGAGACTGTGGAAGTTCTGATATATTTTTTCCTAGCACTTTATCTTTGTCTCTCCAGCTCTGTCTTAATTAGTTGGAAGTAATATCTCCATATCATTGTATATCCCTCTTTTCTCAACTAATATATATTATGAACAATTTCCCATCTCATTAAAATTAATAAAAATATTAATGGCTATATTAATATTTTATAATATCATAATTTATTAAATTATTGTTCCTTAAGTAAAATGATAATCTTATGGAGTGCCTATTTGTATGCTAGATGTTTTACGTATCTCCATAATAATTCTATGAAGTTTGGCACAGCTCCATTTTGCAGATGAGAAAACTTAGGCTCAGAGAAGTCAGGTAACCTATGTGAGGCAACACACCTTATAAGGGTCATGAGTGGACATTAGGCCTTTGATTCCAAGGTTCAAGCTTTTCTTGTACAGCATGCTGAGTCCCAGCTTTTATTTATTTAGACAAAGCTGAAGATACACGGTAACAGTCCTTAGCCAATTGGAAATATGTCTTGCAATATGTTCCCAATAGTCTCGTTAGCCCCTCTGCTTGGCACATTCTTGCATCATCCCACATCTTCTATTGCCTTCCTTCTATGAACCAGAAAGTGTCCAAACACTGGAGGTGTGTGTGGTGGCAACACTAAGCTTATTCTCATCAAGTCATCTTTCCTCTTCCTGGCATGAGTCCCAGCCTAGGTCTCAATCCCTGAGCACTGAGTCCCTGTGTGCAGGATGGCCTCAGAGAGCTCAGGCCTTCTGGAAATCAATCCCAGTTATCTCTTTGTCAGTGAAGTGTGTGTATGATACAGAGGTAGAGAGAGAGAAAGCCTAGATTGCACTTAGCATCAGGGAACACTGTCCGCACCTGGGCTGACTACAGAATCAAAGAGTTACCAAAAATAAAAGCAGCAAATACCTAGGAATATAATTTGGTTACAGAGTCATTTGTATGAATTGATTACTATGATATGAATTTATAAAAGACACAACATTTATCATTAAAATATGTGGCAGATTTATTTGATGTAAGAGTTAATGTTTGTTGTTGTTGTTATGTGCTGTCAAGTCGGACCCGATTCATAGCAACCCCTCCTTGGGTTTCCGAGGCAGTATCACTGCAGAAGTAGATTGCCCAACCTTCCTTCCAAAGAGTGGCTGGTGGGTTTGAACCGCCAGCCTTCTGGTTAGCAGTCAAGTGCCTTAGCCACTATGCTACCAGAGCTCCTGTAAGAGTTAATAATACTATCTTATTAAAAAAAATATAATTAAATAGCTCATCTATCTTGTAAGACAGGCGTGTTATGGAGGGGAAGACTCTTAAGTGCAGTAGTAGTAAACGCAGACCCAAAAATCTAGGGATACTGTCATGCATTTTTCCGGAGTGTGATGAGAAATAAGACTTCTTAAGAGCCTCTTACTTCACTTCTTCACTTACTCTTACTTCTACTTCACTTCTTAAGACCTCAGTTTCCTCACTTACAAAACAGCAACATCCTTCCTACTGTGAAGAGTTATGCGTCAAAAGGTGTGTTCCTCCATTTTGCACAGTGCAGAGCAGGGCACATTGCACACTGTCAGTGGTCCACGCTCAGGCAGGCAGAGATAAATGTTCCCCAAGCACTCTCGTGAGCCAGGCACTGTGCTAGGTGCTCTCAGTCTGTAGCGAATGACAGTGGCAGGCTCTGTGCTCTCAGGGAACTTCTATCCCAAGGGGGGATGACTGATAATATTCACTGATGTCAACCAAATGCCAGAGAATTTGGTAAAGCTCAATTTCAAACGTCCACAAAGCATAGAAACATTCACAGCACCATGAAGAGATGTATTTTAATGACGAGATTTAAAAAGATGGCTCACATACCTGCCATCCATCTCGGATTTTCTGATTGAAGATTCCATACTCATATCGGATTCCATATCCATAGGCTGCAAGTCCCAGGGTTGCCATGGAATCCAAGAAGCATGCTATACAGAAGACATACTTAATAAGCTTAGTCTACATTTCAAGTCTTTTTGTATAAAACAGGGAGACTACAGGATATTTTTCTATGAGAAATCATATTTGTGTTTTTAAGCACAGACACTACTGCACAGTAGATTTTGATTATAATTATAAAAAATACTATCTTGTGAATATACTAAATACTACTGAATTGTACATTTTAGAAAAGCAAATTTTATCCAATTTAAGGTGCATCTCAATAAAAATATTAATACTATAAAAAATCTAGAAAATGAAAAAATGTTTAAAAACATGTATCTCATCATCTAGAAATAACCTTTATGAACACACTGGCACATATTCAATCTGTTTTAATACAGACACACATTGAGATATTCATACACACACAGATACACACACATTATACATACATCAATATGTATATATATATATAATAGATATATGTATTTTACTTAATTAGTATTATACTATATATACTGTTACAAAACCTGAATTTACTCATATTCCTATATTTTCATCAAGATTATCACTTTTAATGGCTGTATAAGCATATCATTAAATTACTTAATCCTCTATGTTTGGAAATTGAGTTGTTTCTACTTTTCTAATATTATAAAAACCATGTTTCAATAAATATTATGATGCAATAATCCCTGATTATTGTGATAAACTCCTGAAAGCAGAATTACTGGACTAAATTATATGAAGAATTTGACTCTTTATACACTACCAATAAATGGCTCTCCAGGGACTTTGCTCTGGTTTACATGATCATCACTAACAATGAAGGAGAATGACCGATTAGGTCACTCATAAACATAACTGGATAGTTAACATCTCTCTGGTTGTACTTCTGTAGAAGAAAAAGCAGTGTAGTGAAAGGACAGCAACACCCAGGGGACGACTGTCAATGTGTGGCTGAAACCCTGGATGAGGAGAGAGGTCAGGGACTGAAAACCTGAGACACTCTCCACGCAGGTAAGACAGAGAAGATAGAATATCTTCTGGAATATTCCTATTCTAGGAGGAGGACAAAGGAAAACTGGTGGAAACAGAGAAGAAGCCATGAAAGACTTTACTTAGAGAAAAACCAAGGGAGTGTGAGGAGCCTATAAGAAGGTCAACTGTTATAAAAATTTCATATTAAGGAAGATGTGGAGTGAGAAAATGATGTAAAGATTAAAACATCACTAGGGATCTTCAGGGAGCTCTCGTGGCATAGTGCCTAAGGCACATGACTGCTAACCAGAAGGCTGGCAGTTCAAACCCACCAGCCACTCCTCAGAAGGAAGATTGGGCAATCTACTTCTGCAGTGATACTGCCTCGGAAACCCAAGGAGAGGTTGCTATGAGTCAGATCCAACTCAATGGCAGTGAGTTTGGTTTCTTGGTATTTTTTAAGGGATCTTCAAGAAAGTAAGTCAGGAAGATGAGGTGAAAAAACGAATTTTACAATGTTTAAAATGTGAGCCCTGTCCCAGCTCCTTCAAAATCTCTTGGGTTGCTTGTAGAAATTTAGATTCCTAGACCCCATTGCATCTTTAATGAATCAGAAGCTCTGCTTGTGGGACCAGGAAATCTATACTTCATGTGACAACAGATAAGGGAGCTGACCTGCATTAGACACGGTGATTACGGAGCCTGTCATCCAGACTGCCCTTTCTAAGAGGAGCTACCTCCATGGCCCCTGCTTGAACACGATCATGTACATGTGACTCATCCTCTAATAGCATCTGACTAGTTGGACATCTGTGGCAGATCACTTTTCACCTGGCTAATGGAATTCCAATGTGGTTTAGATATTAGGTAGCCATATGCTTTAGGGAGGTAGGGCCTCATCCACACTCAAAGAATTGAATCTTACTTTATTAGTTTAAACCCTTTGCCAGTGATTAGGTTTGCCATGGACATGCCATGCCATTCAACCCAGTGAGAGGTGCTGGGAAGTCTGCTGGGAGCAGGAGATTTCTGGGAAAGATTTTCTCTGCTACTGCCATCTTTTTTCCATGAGGGTAAAGTCAAAACAACTAAGAGATCCAGAGTCCTGACACTGTTGTGCTGCTGAATAAACTAATCTTAGAATGGCTCAACCATTCTGGGGCCAATGTTCTGTGACAGCACATGGCTTTGTTGACATATTTTTTTGATAGGGTTTCTGTTATTATAGCCAAAAGCACTATTGACAGAGCACCCCAATTCTGCATATATATACTTCCATAGAAAATAACTTAACTTTTTAAAAAACATAAATGTTATCACATTGGTAGGGATCTCTCCTGTGGCCAGGCACAAACTGAGGAGTTATTTATATTAATTAGAGTCATCCTCTCAGAAATTTGAACTAAGGAATAATATCTGGAGAATAAAAAATTTATAGTGGAATCTGAGACTGAAAGGAACACTGGGAGTTATGGATCAAACAGAGAGGGACTGAGTTAGGTTCATGGTGAAGCCCTAAAACAGAGATCCACAAACTCACGTTAAGTGCCCAAAGCCTTCATGTTATTTTAACATCCTAAGGGTCATCATGTCCCAGTGCTCATGAGCTGTGGCTGTTTGGCTTTTCCTTGATCCTGTTCATAATATCCGTAGAGCCTGACCAGTTGTTGTTGTTGTTGTTGTTGTTGTTATGTGCCGTCGACTCATAGCGACCCCTCCTTGGGTTTCCGAGGCAGTATCACTACGGAAGTAGATTGTCCCATTTTCCTTCTGAGGAGTGGCTGGTGGGTTTGAACCACCAGCCTTCTAGTTAGCAATCAAGTGCCTTAGCCACTATGTTACCAGAGCTCCTAGAGCCTGACCAGAAGGGGTCTCAATCCCAGATAGGTAAGAGATGAGGTCAGTAATGAGAGTGAGTGGAGGTCATGTAGATTTTCCTGTGCACCAGGAACTTTGCTTTCTTAACTATTATTTTAAGAAGGTTACCATTTTTCAAAGTGTGTCAGAGCTCAGGCACTTTAAGGAAGTGGTCATGATACCAAATCAAGCTGAGAGATCTTCCTTAGTTTCTTTCTTCTGGTACAGAATTATTCAGCTTCACTCACCACTTCACTTTTTGACCTTATCAGTCAACTGAAGGAGCAAGGTCACTGATGCCAAGCACAGAGTGGGGCTTAACCCAGCCAACAAATGTTGAAGGTTTTGCATAAAAAGGAAGGCAGGCTGTTCTCTTATCTTAGATGTGCATTCTATTGGCTCTGCTGATCTTAAAACCCCACAGAAAACGTACTGAATTGCTTAGCGAGTGGGTTCCTAGGAAGGTGCCAAGTATTACAACCGTAGTGTTTTCTATGACTAATGCCATGTTAAAGCATGGTGTGATTAATTTAGTGAGGATTAAATAATATGAAATAGGTGCAAATGGATTTCTAATAACATGGAAGTATGTGTAAAATTAGGAAAATTTTATATTTACTTTTTATAAAGTAGAGTTTGATACATTCATTTGTGGTAATATATTTTTATTATTAAATTTAAATCTCACAAGTAACACATTAACACTTTCTCCTTGTAAAAAATTATGTATTACAGATGGGCTAACATACCCTTTGGTCATCACTCCAATCCTGCACTCCTCCCTAGGACAGTTTGGTATTTAGAGGTCTAGATGGTTCCTATGGATTGACATATATATCTACCCAGAGAAAATAATTTAGTTTTTCAAAAACATAAATGGTATCACATTGTGTAACTCTTTTTTTAGCTTGGGCATTAGTTTCTACTATCTTGTCCTGTTTTTTTGTTGTTGTTGTTTCAAGGTTGTCTGTTGTTTCCTAGACATTTTGAAGTTGTTGTCTTTATCTGTTAGTTATGTACTGATTTGTTTCGCTCTGATTTTATGTTTTAGTATATCTGGAGGTATGGAACAGGTGTACTTCTTTGGTTACTAACTCCACTGTATCGGGTCCCTCTCCAGCTTTCTCTGTGTTTGTGGAATCACCTGTGGGGATGTGCGTATAGGTCTCTGTTCGTGAAGAGGATTTGGAGTTGGGATGAGTAGGTGTTGTCTACCATCTATCATTGATCTTGTGATCCAGGAGCTATGGGTGTTACGTGTCTGGTGAGGTGTTCAATGTAGTAGCTACAACCGACTAATGGAGGGTTAACATTTCCTCCTATTGCACAAGGTTGGGTAGAAAAGGAAAAAAAAAAAAAGTACCAGAAGTGAACCCCAGCATAGAAAGGCAGAGGCTGTTTTCTGTCCCTAGCATGAGGTAATTCAGTCAGTGATGGAGGTATGGGAAGAACAGCCTTCTCAGTCCCTGGCTCCATCCAGGGCCTACTGCTGCTGAGGGCGTCCAGCCGTCAATCAAAGCCCGACAGTAACCCTCAAGGACAAAGGCCGCCCTCTTCCATGTGGATCTACAAGTCATGAAATCCCAGATTCCAGATCCACTTTGTGCTAAGAATGGTTGCTAAGAGCTGGACTCAAGCCCACTGCCATGTACCTGCTTTAGGGTTCTGTTTATTTGGAGAGAGTTTCTCATCCTTTTCCTCTACTCCCTTCCAGACTCTATAACAGTTTAAGGTAAAGGAGTCCTGTTCCGTCTCCCAATGTGATCTTCGCCCCCACTCGAAGTCCCAGCTCACCTTAAAAAACTCTCAGTGTGGCAATTCTGAGTCTTTAACACCTGTGGGTTCCGTGATATGTTTTTCTTTTTCTTTCCCTCCTTCTTGACCTCCTTTGCATTTGTAATGACTCCTCTTCAGCTCTGCTGGCCGGATGGGTTTCTTTATTTTCCCCAGTCACTTAACCTGCTTCCTTTTGCCCCCTTCACTGGACCTAATACTCCATCTTCTCATAACTCCAGGATCATTATTTGCATCTACTTTACCTAGTTTCTCAATGTCTCTGGTCATAGAGGAACTAAGCTTGCAGACTGTCAGTAATGATGCCATCTTCCTGCAAGTCCTCTTATACTGTGTGACTTTTTTTTTTTTTAAAGAATTAATGTGGAATTTTATTGATGTTAAAGCTTAACTCTCAAGACAACATCTACATTATTCTCTCTGTCTATAGCCCTAGAAAAGAAAAAAAAAAAACTCATCTTGATAAAAAAAAAAAATCACATGATTAATGGCAGAATCTTTGCTGAATTATTCTGACTAGAAAAATTTAGTTTAATACTATCAGCTTATTAAAAATTGATCTGAAAATTATGGTAAATTGATAGGAATTGTTATTTTGTTGTTCATATTTGAAATCCACCCTCTTCCAAAACTCATCTCTTCTCCAGTAGTACGTATGAAACCCATTATCATTTCACAGAAAAAGAAATGGATTTCATCCAATAGTCCTAACAGAGGAGCTGAGATTCAAATTTAGGAAGGCTTGACTCCACAGTCCAAGCTCCATCCACCACTCCACGTTTGACACAAGCACGGCACATGTGTCCAGGCACAGATCATCCTTCACGTTGCACTTTTAACGCAACTTTTTCTCACTTTGAGAGCTAGCCAGGGAAGTACAAATAGATTAACTGTATTCTTTTAGACTACTACTTATCAATCTGTAACATGGATGTTCCACTGCTAATGTAGCCATTTCTCCTATTGATGGGCATTTAGGTTATTTCTAATATTTTACTTTTATAAACAATACTATAATAGTTTTTTTTTTCCCCCCCACATGCCTCCTTATTCACATGTCTGAGTGTTTCCCTAGGGTAGATATGAAGATCTAGAATTGCTTGGTCATAGGAATACATATTTTTAATTTAATGGAGCTGGTATTGTATTTTCAATGTTTTCCATAATCTTCTGAAAATCATTATCTGGATAAATCAAAGAACTAAAATTGCACACACACACACACACACACGTATTAATTATATCACACCAATAAAGTAGTAAGTGTATCATTACCCACTAGTCAATCAAAAAGCAAATAGTCAAGTACATAAAACAATAAGACAATGGTTAAACAACTTGAGTCATACCATACAAGTATGTGAATTGAGCAGCTGTGAACAGACAACAGTGAAGTAAAGGAGCTACTCTGGAAACCTTTAAGTACACATGAAGCATCAACTCTGGGGTTTTAAGCCCAAGGGTTTTAAGTAATGTCTCGTTTATTCAAGTTCCCTTCTCTACAGTTTGTCTGGAATTGATCCCACCATGGTAAGAAAGGAAGAACATACATGTTTATAATTAGGTCACACCTCCTGCCCCTCCTCAGAAGCTTGTCTAGTTCTTTCAAGAATGGTAATGTAAGAAGGCACCAATTGGTCAATTACTAAACTAACAATGCCACTTACCAGCAAGCCTCCCAAGGCCACCATTGCCAAGCCCAGCATCTTCTTCCATTTCTTCTAACTCTTCCATGTCCAATCCAAGCTGGTGATGAAAGGAAAACCACACTGAATGCTGCTTCAATTGGAGCCCATTTCACAGAAAACGGTCATTTCCTAAAGCCCTGGGTCAGGCATCCAGGTTTATCTGTACACTCTCAATCTAGGTCCCTCACAGTTTGTTCTGGTATGAGGTACCCACTGGAGATCCTGGTTGCTGCAAATATAAGCTGTATGAGATGACACCCAGTTGCATGGCAAAGACTATGGGTGCCAAGTGTTCACCACTGACTGTTACCTTCTAGCTCTCTGACCCTGGTGAAGCTATGACATCTTGCTTTGCATCACTTGTTATTAAAAAACAAAGAAGATAACAATTCCTCCTTCACTTAGGATTGTTGTGAATTAAATAAGATTGTACAAACAACACATTTAGAACTATTCCTGGGCAAACAGTCCTCAATATATGTGGGTTTTTTTTTTTTTTTTTTCCATACTCTTGGGTTAAAACCTCAGAAATAGTCTAATGCCAAGCTGAGACTAACTGGATTTAAGGATTATGAAAATTAACAAAAGGTATGAGATCAGAATTTTCTGGTTGGATTAAAGTTCATCTTATTGCCACAACTTATTTACTTGGTAGAGTTAACAGTTGTTAACCCAAAACCAGTTAATGGGTCACTGCCATGAGAGCTCAGGGCTGATAGCAGTCAGGGAAATTTCAGTCATGCAAGTCTGTCTTGACAGGGATAAATGTCTCTACTTCTCTCTTGGGGAGGCCACGGAGTGTCAGCAATCTAAAAGTGGATGGGATTGGCTCGTAGAGATAGCTTCCTGCCCTAAAGCATTTGGGAACTACATGGCCAGAGTCCATTAGGACCACTGAGAACTCATGTCAGAGTTCTGCAGGCTTGGAGATCACTTTGTTTAGTTTCTCATCTTACAATGAGGAAATTGATGGCTAGATAAATGACCTGCCTTATGTTGACCAGATGATAATCTAGCCCATGCTTGGCTAGAGGACAGTCTGTTGTGAAACAGATGTGTTCTTATCTGAAAGGCATGCAAACCGTGAAATTAAATATTACTTAAAATGTAAAAATAATTAATGGATTTTCAAACATATGCATAAGATACAACTATGCTTGAGGTTGATGTTCTGGTTTCCTGGGAGCCACCTATTTGGATTCATATCCTTACACCAAAAGTTGCATTCTCAAACAAGTCTGATAACTAAATTTTATGACCTCAAAAATGGTTTTGTTTCTATTTACTATTGAAGAGGCTTTCCAATTTGTTACCTGGTGACTAGAGTTTACTGGAGTCTTTGTGCAAGTCAACTATTAACTCTAACCCTCAAGATGTTTTAAATTCTAAAAATGTAAGTCTAAAGTAGAACATAAACCTTGAGAAGGAGACATGGATCACCACATTCCACCTGGTTATGTTATGCTATTCCAAGGCAGGTATGTGATTTTCAGTTGATGTCAAGAGAAGCGAAGAAAAGGAAAGTTGAGGGGAGCTGCAGTAGCTCTTTCACAGGCAACACTCCACCCTTACCCACATGAAGGAAACCAGCCCTTACTGTCAAAGAGCTGGCCACATGAGAGGACAATGCTATGCCATGGAAAAGGAGCAGCCTGGACATTCTCTCATTTAGAATTTGTCTTTGCAAACACAATACACATTCTTCTTTTCAACCACATCAAAAAGGTTAAGGAGTATTTGTTTTGGCATGAAGATATCAAACTCAGGAAAGAAATAGTTGAAGATGTTAATAAAACAAAAGCAAAACAAAGCATAACAAAAACCCCAAGTATATTCATTTTAAGACTTCAGGTTCCTCCTATAAAGAGGAAGTGTACTTTATATCTCATGAACAACAGTTACAGAAAGTATGATAACAGAATTTTAAAAGTTTATCATTTTCACATACCACCTTGATATATGATTAACAATGAAACTTTAATTATTTCTTAAAAAGCAGATGTTGTTGTTGTTGTTATGTGCCTTCGAGTCAAACCCGACTCATAG